TTCCTCATGCAATACACGGAACGAAACGACGCCGCAGTTATCAATATTTCTTCGGAAGAGGAGAGGTTCATACTACGGAACCTCACCAAGTTTGCAATATTTCTCATCAAATCACTTTCTCTAAACGAAGTCTTCGAACTCATCAAAGCATCGACCGCAATTATTTGGAAGCTTTTATTAGAACAAGCTGCTGTGTCGGGTCAGATTCCGAATATTACAGAGTCGGCTTCTTCTTCTTCTTCTTCTGGTGTTGACCCCTAGCTAGCTCTGTTCCGGTTAACTCGTGATTTTATTATCGACCAATTTCTCAATGTTAACTTTTTTTTGTCTTCAGCTAGCTACTTTTAGTTGCTTTTGATATTAACATACTTTGATGATAAAAATCAAGAGATTATTGGTTCATGGATATTAAATTATTTAACCAATTTTAAATTCGAATATGTGCTCTTCATATCAAATCCATTTACTTGATTGAAATTGATACTCTTTTTACCTACATTGAAGGACGATGCATGGTATACTGCGTCTCCATGACGATTCAAACCCACATGCATCATATACAGATCCTAAACGCATTCCCCTGCCTCCTCTTGTAACTCTGCCTCATTGCCAAACTCAGAATGTGTCGTTGTCCATGGGATGTAATACATGGGATACATGAGATCTACCCACCTAATATATGGGATACAACTTGTGCATATGTTGTTCACCATCACAATAGCATTTGTGCATATTTTATAATCAATACTTTTGTAGATGGTTGTCTTTATGCAAAGATGCATAAATAAAGAACCCAAGTTAATTTTTTTTTTTTTTTTTGAGGATTAGAAAAATTCAGTTAATTAATAACAATAAAGGAACATAAAATTTTGGTCTTTTAATTAACTCATTAAACATTTACCTATTTTATCATAAAAACTATTAACTAACTTAGTAGACATTTAATTTTATCAAAAATTCTTTTCACCCAACAAGAGGATATTAATATAATAAAGGACTATGCAAATATAACAAGAGACGATAGACTTATAATAAATCTATATTCAGAAAAATCGCACATCTATGTCTATATCTATGGAGTATTGTAAAAGTTTAAATTTAAATTTCATTTGACCTGAGAGGATATTTTTAAGCTTTAATATGAACAACATCAATTGTACATGATTCAATATCCCACCATTGAACCATACCAAATTTTGAACAGACCGAACCAAACCAAATCGAGAAATCGGTCCCAGTCGAAAGAGTTAGGTATGAGTTTCAAAGTTAAAGTGATAGCTTTTTAAGTTCTGATCCTAAAAGAGGGCAAAAAGAGAGTACAAGGGCCAAAGGCCCAAAACTAACAGAATAAAACACCCACCTAAATCGCTTTGATCCAATTTACAGCAACAAACCAGTTTCTCACGTTAGACCAAAGCTGTAACTGCTTCTGCTCTCAAACCACAAATCTTCTTTTAGCAGAAAAAAAAAAAAAAAAAAAAAGAAGCTCAACTCTTGAAAAAGAAGAAACCATCAAAAGGGTTTCTCTCCAGGGAGATATGAAGGAGAACCCCATTCCACTTGGTTCTTCTTTCTATTAAAGATTCCACTTAGATTCGGCAATAGCACTTTCTTTGAATACACAGAAGTTTTTGTCTTCTCCAATTTGTTATGGACAGGTTTATGCTTGGGAGCTTTGTAAAGTTGTTGCGGTGATGATTCAGTGGTCATCTTCATCTCAGCTTCTGCTAGAATCCTTGTCGCCGCTTCCTCTGCTTTCTTCTGATCTCGTTCACGCCATCTCCTGAGTTCTCCTTCAACAGCTTTCTTAGCAGCATCCGCCATAGCTGCTTTCTTCAAGGCTTCTTCTGTTGCAGTCTTGAGCTTCTTAATCTCCTCTTGTGTTGTCTCTAACTTCTTCAGTGTTTCGTTTTCGCTAGCTTTCACTGCTTCCACCTGAGCCAATGCAGCAGCCACTTTCATTTCCGCTAATTTATCGAACACCTCAGCTCTCTTGCTCAGTGACTTAAACTCCTCTTGAGACAGTGTGATGCTCTGAGATCCAGACTCAGATGAAGTCGAGTTACGTGCAGCTTTGGTTTTTTCAGAAATAGACTTGATCTGTTCAAGCGCCTTTGCCTCGTCAGCTTTTGCTTCTTCGGCTTCATCTAAAGCGACCCTTAGATGTAGCTCTGATTCTTCATGAGCCAGATGTGCTGTCTCCGCTTCCTTCATTAACTCATCAGCTTTGTTTCTCATTTCCTCAGCTTCCCGTCGAGCAGTTTCGGTCTCTGAAGATATCTGATTGATGGTTAACATCATATCCTCCAAAGCAGCCTTCGCTTTAGATTCCTCTGCAACACAATCTTCTAGCTCACTTTTACCTCTGGTAAGCTTCTGATGAAGATCTCCAGCCACAGATTCAATTTCAGCCTCCTTCGCTTCAACTTCACTGTGCTCCGTCTTCACATTCTTCAGTTCTGCTTTAAGAGATTCCACTAACTCTTGCAAAGACTTCTCTTCTTCCACAAGTTTCTCAAGTAAAACCTTTGCTTCATTCAACTCCAAACTCACACCATTAACGGAATCCATATCAGATGCTTTCGCAGTCTCCATTTGCTTCTGCAGCTCATCAATCTCGTTATACGTCTCTGTCAACTGCACTTCAAGCTTTTTTGCAAATTCAGGGTCAAACTCGTTCTTCAAAGCGAGTGATTTCTTGGCAGATTCTTCCATGCCAGCTTTATACGAGTGCTGCTGAATCTCCTTCTCTGCAAATATCTTAGATTGTTCTTTCCGGGCTTGAGAAGATGCAAGCTTCGTCTGTTCAACTGATTCATTAACAGCTGCGATTTCATTTTTTAGCAACTCAATCTTCTCAGAATGAACTTTAGTCACTTCCTTAGCTTCCTCTACTTTACTTAAAGCAACAGTCTTTGTTTCCAAAATCTCATTTGAAACCTGACGGATTTTTCTCAGCTCTTGCTTTGCCGTATCAAGTTCCTTACATACCGCTTCATACTGTTCCATATCCTGAATCTGAGCATCACTACTACTAGACACAGAAACATTACCCGGTTTCGCTTCTTTGATTTGACTCTTAGCAGCTTCAGTCGCTTTATTTGCAGAATCTCTTGACTCATTAACCGCTTCAAGCTTACGAGTAAGTTCATCAACAGTTCTTTTAGCCCATTCAAGCTCATTCAACGCTTGCTCTCTGACAGTTTCTGCATTCTTAAGCTGTTCCTTCAACTTATTCAACTCTTTCTGAGCCAAGTGTAGCTCTGTTTGTTTCACCAAAATTTTCTGCAAACCAACCACAAACACAATTCAGATTAGAAAACCTCTTAAACACAAACTGCTAATGAATCAAATCAAAAATACCTCAGCAGATTGAGGACTAGGTTTCCGAATAGCCGGTTTCTCTTTCTCAGCAGAGAAAGCAGCTTCACCGAAAAGGTTAACCGCATCTTTAACAGATTGAAAAGGAGCACTTGTGTCAATCTCTCCAACCTCCACAACCGGAGAGGAATCAGAAGAATCTCTACGTCCCTTCTTAGCAACCATTTTGCATCTTCTTTCTTTAATAGTCTATAAAATCAAGATTCACTACCTGATACAGGAGACATACACACACAGAGATAGAGTTCAAAATCATTTTGTTTCCAATTACTAATGAATCCATTAATAGAAGATTAAGCAAATTAAGTAATATCAAACAGTAAACACACACATACACGGAATAAACCAAACCCTAAGAGCATGTTATTAAGGAAAAGATTAACTAAACGAAGACCAAAGATAGTACTTTTAATTTGATCAGCTTAAACACAATCAACTAAATTTGGGATAGATTCTATAAATCAAAGAGGCGAAACGAGAATATATTTGAGCTTCTCTTCCACCGACGGAGTAATCGTCAAAACAAGCGATGGGTGACCAAAAATTTTCGATTTCGTACCTGATCTTTCCGGTTTGAAATTTATCGTTTTTCAGAGTCGAAAACGAAAACCCAGAAACGTGAAATCGAAACCGCGCCAATGAAATAATCTTAAAAGGAGCGATTTTTATTTTTTTCTTTCTCAGGGAGAGAAAAGACGATCGGAGGAAAAAAGAAAACGTCAATCAGAAAACGATATCTCCGGTCTTGACGGCGATGAATACAAATCAAAAAGGGGGAAAAAAAAGATTTGAGCTTTGAAGGAGATGAAGTTTTGAAATTTCTTCTGTAAATCAGAGAAGAAGAGCAAAGTCAGTGGCGAGGAGAGAGAAAGAAAAAAAAGGAAGAGACAGAGAGGAGAGAGAGAAGTGTATTTGGTTGACAAATGGCAGTTTTTTATTGGTCATCGGTAAACCTAATTGTTTGATTTATTTTTTAATTTTATTTGTGACATCAATTCTTATATTTATATCTGGACGGTGTGTAAATATAACTTTTTAAATCTTCTTTTTACTTTAAATGGTAGCATAATTTGTCAATAATAAAGAATCCATGCAACAAGTATACTAAAGATTATTATCAAGTTAAAGGTGAGAAATTAAGTATGTAGTATAATTAACTAATATGATATATCTGGCCTATATCCCACATAATAATGAGAAACTTTATGCAAAATTCAGAAAAATTAAATGGGAGATTGATTGATATGGGCAAAAAAATGAAAACTATTTGGCACGTGAACTAGACGACATGTAAGGCTAAAAAGATAGACCAAATTATTCATTCATTTTGCTATGTGTATAGAGCTCTTGACTGACTATTCAAAAAATGGGCCAAGGCTTCCCTCCAAGGATGATGATGATCATATTGACAATGATTTATTATTGTACTTGTGTGTGTATATTTATCACATTTATTACCAAACATGTATAGAAAAATCTCTCTCTCTCTCTGTCTTCGTTGTTGTAATTATTAAACTTCCTTCAATTAACTTATAAGATAACCAAAGAGGCCATGTTCATCCCTAACCTTGTAAGAGTTGTTAACATTTGATAATAATAAAAAATACCAACTTTTGTATTCAAAAATTAGGTGAAAACATAATTAAACAACGCATCGATTTCGTTATTTCGTTAATATACTCTCTTAATGGCGATGATGAGTGATGACAATGGCCAAATCCTGCCATTTGTTCAACTAATGCGTCGATTTCATCTCCGTCTTCAAGCTCTAGCTGTAATATAATCCCTTTCTTTGATTCATATATAATTGGGAGTATTTCTTATTAACCAATTAATATATAATAATGAATAAATAGCAAATACTGTATATACCTCATTGGGAGTTTGATTGGGTTTGATCCTAATTCCATCGAAGTGGAACCTAAAAACTGACATATCTTGTCCAACTTTGTCGGAATAAGCTTGCATCATCGTACGGAGCTCAACGTCCCTCTTAATCCGGAAGTACACACATATGTCGTCCTGTTTAATTTGTTACTTGTTAATCTTTTTTAAATGGCTCTAGCTAGAGCGGTTAATCAATTTTCAAAGCAACCTTAGCAAGATATTCATTCTAACTAAGTACCTGGCTTTTGATCTTGACGGAGATATGAGACGACGGCACAAACGGTTTCTTCTCAGCCGCCGACATTTTCACTTTCTCTTCCGACGGTTGGATTGCTCTAAACTCTGATATAATTAAGTTACATGCAATACATATATATACATATATACACACACTAAGAGAAGAACTTTGACTGATTAAATATGAATCTTTTAGTTTTCCGTTCCTGATCTCTTTGTTTATCGTGGGAATTGATGAGTTTCTTCAACAACACAGTTGATAGTTACGACTTACGATCATCACAAACTTTTATGCACCCTTTCCGATTTCTTTCCTTTTGTTTTTTGTAATTTTTGACTGAGAAAGAAACTAAAAACCATATTTTAATTTCAGAAGCGATTGGAAAACATAATAATATCTACACTTCATACAAAATGTTTACATTATTGGTTTCAGATTCACAAGTTCACTGAACTATCTCCAGTAGATTATAAGGACTTTAGCTATATAATCCAGTATGGGTTTAGTAAATAAGCCCATCAAGATTCCCAATACCAATGTGTCATGTTTGTGTTTTGTATGCTTATTATTGTGTGTATCAAGTTCTTGTTTGTTTTCATTATTTTCTTTAAATTAAATATTATAATTATCTTTCTTCTTTTTTTTGGGTCCAAATATTATAAATATCTTCCATTTTCTTATTTTCATGATTTTTGTTTTCCATCATCTATTTAATTATTGTTGACTTTGGTTTCAATTTTTCTTCATATATGATGTGTTTTCACTTTTAGGTTGACTAGTTCCTTTTTTATTTTACGTTCTTATATATCCTTTCTACGTACATCGGTACATGGTAAAAGGTAATGATGTAACTTTTTGATTTACTAAAGAGGAAAAACAAAAAATGGAGCACCACATAATATACTAAAAAATCAAGGATAAAAAACACCATAAAACTTGAAAACCAAGACACCATTACATATAGACACAGTAACTGTGTTTTTTTTTTCTTTTTTCTTTTCTGGTTTTCCAATAAAGTTGCAACACGATTTTACAGCATTTTTATAAGAACAAACGACTTCAAAGAAGTAGGAATCATAATCGTGATACTAAAAGGGGGAAGCTCCAAATCATCTTAGGAACCATTTTTTTTTTTTTTTTGTGTAGGTAATTTCAAGAAAGACAATAAAACATAAAAGAACATTGCTTTAGATGTGTAAGCAGTGTGACTTTGTTTTTGGGGCAGCAACCAAATCCATCTTTGTTGTGTCTGTCAAGAGTCCACAGCTGGAGACTGCATGCAGCAGAGCCATTTTTTCTGAAACCAAAGAAAGAGTCCATTTTGTGTGACACTGGATCAATACTTCAAGTTAAGGAGATAAAGATGAAAATGAAATTGAAGAGGAAGAAGAAACTTACCGGCTGAGGTTTACTGGGATCTCCTCCTCCAGACTTAACATGACCCTCGGTGGATTTACCGGGTGATCCGGGTTTGCCACCAGTCTTTTTCTCATCCCTAGCTTTGTTGAATATCACTGTGAAACCCTCTGCTGATGCTGGATCATTCACATCCCATTCACCAAATTTCGGCAAGGGACGACCTTTGTCCTGTTGTTCATATAAAAACCACATAGTCAAACCAAAAATATCAAGAAGCAAGCTCAACCTCAAACTCAATGTGTAACCCTTCGTGCCAATTATATTACATTCACCGTGGATATTCACACTAAACTCTAAACTAATGAAAAAAGAAGAACAACATCCGATTAAAGAACTGATAAAGGCATAACCTTTCTTTATTGTAAGCCAAGCAAGTCTTAGGTTGGAGCAAACACAGAAGTAGAAGAAAAGCATCAAGCGAGTAAATACGAGTGAGTAGTTAACTTTTTATCAAGTATCAGGATAATGGTTTGTACAATTATCCCAAACTAATCATATTTCCATTTTTCAGCAAACAATATACACCACAAGTCAAAAAGATTACCAAAACCAAACCAGAAGAAAGTTTCTTAAAGTTCCTATCAACTTTATTATCCATGTAATTAGGTGAGAAAATGATACAACCAAAGTTTGAAACTAGTGGGATATTCAGTTTTGTCTCTAAATAAGCAAACAAATCCACAAGGCAAGAAGATCTCTTGCTTGTCCATAAACAATGCCACACAACATTCATGCCTCTTTCACTATCTAATGATTCAAAGAACAATCTCTCAAAAAAAGAAGATAAGTTAACACAAGACAACAACAACTTTTTTTTGCATAAAATCCTTATTTCATATCAAATCCAAAATCATAAACTCAAAATCTAAGCTGAAAGAGAAATCAATCCCTTCAAAACATCAAAATCTAAGCTTTAAGTCAATCAAATTCAGGAAAAAAGTTCAAAACTTAAATAAAACACGAGATCCAGAATAAGGATGATCAGATTCATCAAGAAGACAATAAGCTAATCAGAATCACAATTTCACATCTGATGTTTATTTAATCCACATATCTAAGATTCAGCGGAATTAAAAGAAATAACAAAAACCCTCCAATCAAAATGATAATCAACATAGCATCATCTAACTCTCCAAACAGAAAACCAAACTAAAATTCTCAAAAACCATACAAATCGAATTCAAAACTGTTCTCAAGCATATACATAAACCAAACAGGGGAAACCAAAAAAAAAAAAAAACCTTTTTCAAAAAGGAGATTTAAAAACGTACCGACATGGCGTCTGCAGAAAGGAGAAAGATTTATCCCAAGGAAAAAGGAGAAATAGCTCAGAGAAAGAGAAGCCGCCGAGAAAACCAAGGAAAGTGAGAGGAAAAATATTTTTGATCGGAGAACAAGAGAGAGAATCTGGGAGAAGACGAAGAAAAATAAAAAGAGAGACTTTTTTTTTCAGTTTTTTCTCTCTTTTTTATTTTCCTTTTTTTTTCTTTTGTTTCCTTTCTTTCTAAAAATTCTTTTTTGCTTCTTCTTTATTATAACTCGGTGCGGTGTCTGTAACGGTTTATATAAACGGAGTTAGACCTCAAGTGACGTGAATGTCTTTGGTTTTTCTAACGGAGAGATGAGCTGGCTGACGACTGTTAATAGAGAGAGAGCATATATGTTGGTTCAGACCGATGCAAAGCAAGTGACTTGCTGGCACTGTTTTGTCTTTTTCCATTTATTAATTCTCTCTTTTTATTTTCAGCTAATAAAAAGCGTATTTATTAATTCTAATTTAATGAGTTAAAATTTATAAACCGTACTACAAGCTGAATAGTATCAATTTTGCTAATCTGAAACGTTTTTTTTTTCTTTTTTTTTTTTTTGTCAAATTATCAAACTAGTTGTGCATTGTTATTAGAAATTAGTCTAATCAAGTGGCCGATTTTTTTAATAAAATTATTAGTCTTTTTCCTAACAACGATTGTTGTTTGACAAAAATTCTTAATCCGTCATCACTCGTCTACCAATTTTTACCAAAAGAGTATATCTTTAGTCCACTTGCATGTATTAATTGATTTTAATTATAACTTGTTACAATAAACAATATGGATTTGGTGAATTTTATAATTATTGTTTTGCTGATTATCAGCTGCGACAATTTGTTCAAATAGGTGTAACCTAATTTTGTATAATACTCACTCTAATGATCTAAACATGTTACATATTTGTATGTAAAATAAAAATTGTTAGTAGACTAACAGACAATCAACACATTTAAACATATAATAATGTATGTGTTACAGGAGAGGCTCACGAGTGGGTACTGCAAAATGGAACATATCCAGTGATGCAATCTGACGAACTGTTAGATTCTGTCTGCATCAAGAGATCCCATCAGACACCATCCCAACACAACAACTAGTTTCTCTCGTTGTTCCGACATTCATCGAAAAAAAAATCCTCAAAGACACAGAAGACGCTTTCTTTTATTTGTTGCTTCCATGGCTCTGCATCATGTTTCTCTGAACTATTATCTGAATTGGTTTTGGTGAAGTCCAGATTGATTACAGGTGAATTCAGCACATGATTTGACAACACAGATCCAGCTATTAAGAGCTTGTTCCCCCCTCCCCTGCTTTGTCTCTGTAAAGAAAAGAAAAATTGTAAGAAACGAGCAAGCAAACAAACAAACAAGAACTTTAATGCAAGTGGCGTAAGACAGCGTTTATAAACCCACCTGGAAGTTTAAGAGATTCAATCAAAGTCTCCTGATAGTTTTTTGAGTTGTATTTGTCAGAGAAAGGAGCCAGTAATGGTGCAGCTTCACTGTCTTGCTTGTCTTGTTCTGTATAACGGTACAAGCTTTAATGTTTAAGCTTCTGGAACTGACTGGCACTCACACCAAGAACTATCAATGAAACAAGAGAGAACAAAATTATCACTATGATCCATAATATACTGCCAGTCAGAGAGGAGAAGAATGAGTAAGATGCATACTGTGAATCAGACAAAGCAGTTCCTTCAGAGAACATTACTCTGCATATCCAGCTCTTTAGGGCGATAAACTGCACGATATCATCTGAAAAAGTAGAAAACACATTAAATAAAAACACAATATATGAAATTCAGAAAAATAATTAAACATAAGGATTAAGAACAAACCGTGTTACAGAGACGCCGATGATTGAGAAAAGCATCAACACTCATTTGCATAGGAAAGTTGATCATATGATTACTGTTATAGCTTGTCCTGATGTTATCTCTTCATGTTAGTTTGCAAGGTCTTCAGCTTCTCCATGACCACTGTCAAGGTTTTGCGTAAATCTTGTGAAACGCTCGTGGATGTTATGAATCCTCTAGCAAGTAAATCTTTCAGGATGATATCAGTCCCAGAAATGTTGGTTTCTCGGGAAAGTATTCCACTGATGAGAGCTTTGTAGGTGGTCGCATTAGCTAATAATCCATCTTGTTTCATCTCTTCATAGAGTTCACATGCAACTGCCATATCACCTTTAGCACATAGTCCAGAAATCAATACATTGTACGACACAAGATCAAGCTTCAGCCCACAATTGCTCATGACGTCTCTCAGTTCCAAGGCCTTTGTGACATCACCATTCTTGCAAAACATGTGCATTAGAGTAGTGAAACTAGCAATAGTCGGAACCAACTTCATTTTCAGCATAGACTGAAGAAGCAGCATAGATTCGTCAGCCTTGCCGCATTTTGCAAGCGCTCTCACCATTGCACTCTCAGCTACATTAACCGGACATATCTTGCGTGCTATCATCTCATCCTTCAGCATAAATGCAGTCTTTATATCTCCCACTCTACAAAGACCGTTAAGGAGACCAATGTATTTGCGACATTCGGGAGATAGACCTTGCTTCGACATTTCGTGCAAAAACATGCAAGACTCCTGGAATCTGTGGTTCCTGTTGAGGATGCTTACGATGGCTTCACAAGTATTTTTATCAGGGGCGATTCCCAAAATGCTCATGACATTAACCAGATCAAACGCCCAGTTGATCTCTCCATTTGCACAACACTTGGAGATTAGCATGTTGAACGTATACCTATCAACTTCAAAACCTCGACATATGAATGCTTTCAAAAATTTAAGACCAATCTCCAACATGTTGGATTCACATATCCCAAGGATAAGAGAGTGGCATGTGAGCTTGTCAGGTACAATGCCACTCCATATCATGGATCTATACAGCATAAAGCTCGTTGATACGTTTTTCCTCTTTGAATACCCATGCAATAGAATATTGTAGGTAGTCAGATTAGGACCTCGATTTTGGTTCCCCATCTCAAAAAGTAGGTCATGTGTCCTCTCTATTCTCCTCATCCTTGAGTAACCGTCAATCATTATATTTGTTGTAACAGTATCAGGGGTAAGGCCAAGCTTAGCCATCTGCTCCAGAAAATAAAAACCAGTCTTCCATTGGCCGGCCTTGAACATACCATCCACAAAACAGGTATACATCACCTTGTTGGGAAGTAAATTACCTCGAGCTTCAGCTTCCTTAGCAAATAGTATGGCAATAACAGTCTTACCCTGCCTACACAACCCAGAAATAAGACTGGTATATGTATAACTGTCAGGCAGAATGCTTCGCTGCACCATCTCATCAAAAAGTGAGACAGCCTTGTCCAAGTTCCCTGATTTACACATCGTAGTGAGTAGTGTGTTGTACATTACAGTATCAACAGCTGCAGGAACATCATGTAGACTTTTAAGAAACTTCTCTCCCTGTCTCAAATGCCCACCTTTGCATAATCCCTTGAGCAGACTACCATATGTGAAGAACGTTGGGTGATGACCTACTTTGGTCATCTCATCAAATATAGAGAACGCTTTTAGCCCTTCACCCAAGCTTCCATACCCATTGATAAGACAATCAAAGCTAACTGCGTTAGGAAGAATACCATCACTTGTCATGCAACGCATAAATTCTTCTGCCTCACACACTTTACCAGCTTTACATAGTGAAGTGATAAGTACATTTATCGTGAAATGGTTTGGGGTATGGCCCTCGAGGATCATAGCTTCATAAATTCTTAATGCTTCCTTTAAGCATCCCATCCTGCAACAGTTGTATATCAGGGTCGAGTAGATGATGCCATTTGGACTAAGACCAGCTCGGTAAATTCTACATACTATCTCCATAGCTGATTTCAACCTCCCCACCTTGAAACATCCATTTATAAGAGCAGAGTATGTGATAATATCAGGCTGAATACCATCTTTTCTCATTTCATTAAGCATAACAACTGCTTCATTCAAAACCCCATTTTTGCATAACCCATCAATCATTCCAGTGTATGTTATTCGCCCAACAGAGACCCCATTTCTCTTCATTCTCATGTAAAAGCCTCTTGCTAGGTCAAACTCTGCATTTTTGCACAACCCATCTAAAAGTACACTATAGCTAACTTCAGTAGGTATAAGACCTTGTGCTTCCATCCTATAAAACATCTTCAAAGCCTCTTTAAAGTTTCCCTCGCTAATGTGTCCATCAATCAAAGCATTGAAAGTAACATGATTCGGGGAAAGTCCAAAGGTTAACATCTCGTTCAAAAGTTGACGAGCAATGAGCACCTTTCCTTCATTAGAAAAACCATTAATAAGCGTATTGTACGTGACTTCGTTGGGGTAAATCATCCTCTTCCTCATATCCCTCAGCAACAAATAACCTTTGGCACTTCTATTGTTTCTGCACAAATCGTGGATAAGCATATTATATGTACAGACATCAGTGTCAATCCCTTTTGACTTCATGTGATCGATAAGATCAATAGCCGCTTTGAATCTTCCCTTTTTACAATACCAATGGAGCACAGTATTGTATGTAACTATCGTTGGGGGATAACCACTCTTCTCCATCCTTTCCATGAGATAACACGACTTCTTAAAGCTTCCTTCAGCGCAGAGAACATTAATTAGTATATTGAAGGTAGCTACATCAGGACAAATCTTTCTCTTAAGCATTTCCTTCAAGAGAGACCAGACTGACATATCCCCACCACTCTTTACGATGGAACCTAGCATTGTATTACAAGTATGTACAGAAGGATTGAACCCATAAAGACCCATCAAGCGAAATATTTCCAGAGAATCTTGAATCATTCCTTCTCTCAAGTATACTCTAATCAAAATGTCGAAAACCGAAGGGTTCGAATTGCAAAGCCGGTATGTGGCCATCAAAGCACCAAAAACAAGGCTTGATTTACCACTCATCCAAGTTAACTCCTTCAAGATGTGCCTTGCAGGGTCATACATTCTAGCTCTAACTAATATATGTGTAGTAATAGAAAACAGCTGAACAATATGGTCATTCTCCAAACCGGGCTGCTTAACTACCCATTTAAGAAACTTCAAAGCCAGCTTCCCATGAACTGGTCTAAGACGAGCCTGTCTATAATCCATATGATTCAGAGACCCCCAACGGTCAATTGTAAGAATGTTATATATGCTCTTCTCCATATCAAGTCCTGTTCCATAGACCCCAAAAAGCTCAAATCTTTAGCAAAACCAAACTAGAAGATTCAGGAAAAGAAAACATATAGGACTCCAAATTCACCAAAGTGTTCACTCTAATGTTTTAAAAACTGAATTCTGACACCTCTAGAAATACATGTGCAGCTTCAGTTGAATTATAATAACTCTGGAAAAACAATAAGAACACGAAGCAACCAAATAAAGAAGATGGACTCACCAGAGACACCAAATGCTCCGTGAGAAGTATAATCATCTCGTTTCGAATGTTTCACAGCGCCGCCGCAAGAAAACCCAACTCGAGAGAAACATCCAAATTTTGAAAAACTGAGACGCAACAGAGAGATTGCTCCATTTCTGTGAGAAATTAAACTCGAGAAACCAGACATGGCTGCTTCTAACACACAGTCAATTCAAAATCGTTTCGCCTTCCTCTCTGCGTTGTTTCCCCTCTCTCTCTGCAGAAGCTGGAAGCGTAGCTGGGCCAAAAGTTAGAGAGGCCCGTTTGATATTAAATGGGCCTCTTAATGTAAGCCTATAACACTCGAATCGTGTCAGTCTAAATCAGCACGTGCCTAATTTCGACGTAACAAAACAGTGGGTCTTCGTAAATAGCGAGATCTATAATGTTAACGGACGGCTGAGATCAAACAACAAGAGCGTAGGTGTAGTTGAGCTGTCGATGACGACTTAAAGTTTTGCCTTGTTCATTTAGGTGAAAGCAACTTCCGACTTTCACGCGTGCGAGATTTTAATTACTCCCTTTTTCTTTTAGCTCAAGCAAAAATATTTTTTTCTCGTTTTCAAGTGATATAATCTAGTTTCTTATTAGAAATTTACAAAACTTATTATTGATTGTATTGTTTTTTTTTTTTTGCCAAAACAAAACTACGAAAAAAAAAGGAAGAGAAAAAATTAAATGTGAAAGCGAAAAGGTAGAGAGTGAAAGGGAGAATCTCTAAGATTGTAGAAACTTCCAGATTCATGACACTAAGTAATCTCAGGGACCATTCTCAGCTTCAATTGTTCAGTCACTCACACTAACCAGTCTCCACCTCTTATCACCGGTTGTAACCTGTAAACTCATTCATACCCTTCGCTATAAATGACAAGTCACGGATCCACCACCGTCACTGCTTACTTACGCCGCACGTCACACAACTCTTTTCTTCTTCTTCTTCTTCTTCTTCTTTCTCTCGGAGAAGAAGATGGAGAAATGTTGACAGAAGAAAGAGAGCACAACCCGGGATTAGCAAAAATACATAGTTTTGCCCTTGTCGGGAGTGTGCTCTCTTTCCTTCTGCCACCATCATTGCGCATTGCGCCTTGTTATGTGAATGTGACCGTGTCCTGAGCGTATGCTATACTCTGATTGCTTCAACAAGGTTTCTTCACTATCAAGTAAGGTACGTAACTTGATCACTCTTTAATGATCTTGAAACTGAGTTTTTTTTTTGCTTTTTCTTATTGCTCTGTGAAACAAATCCAATTTATTCTAGATTCTTAGATGGGTTTATATGAAAACAGAAACCTACTCGTTCAATATATAATCATTGAACCAAAGGATAGTGTTATACAAAATCAAATGAAAAAATTATATATATCTATCAAAATGAAAGAATGCCAAAAGATATACTAAGATACGACGTACACGATACTGTCTCCTTCTTCATCTTCTGAAACAATGTCATCAAGACTAAACCCACAAGAGAAAGACAGTGTAGGTTTCATCTTCGGAAGAGGACTTGGCTCAACCTCGTTGTTAAGTATCTGAAGAACACGTCTCATCGATGGTCTCTCATTACTATTTGGGTGAGCACATTTAAGACCCACAATCAACAGTTTCTTCATCATTTCTTCATCAAACTCACCTTTCAACCTCTCATCTACAGCTTCAACAACTCTTCCTTCACTGTGTAATCTCCATACCCAATCCACTAGATTCACTGTCTTTTGACTCTCTGGTTCTTTATCTATTGGCCTTCTCCCACAAGCTACCTCTAGAATCACCACTCCGTAGCTAAAAGTATCTGTTTTCTCAGTTACAGCGCCGTACTGGAGATACTCTGGTGCCAGATAACCCATTGTGCCAGCGGTCAAAGTTGAGACAGGGCTCTTATTATGCTCCGTGAGTCTGGCCAGACCGAAATCTCCAAGCCTTGCGTTGAAGTTTATGTCAAGCATTATGTTGCTTGTCTTAATGTCTCTATGGACCACCTGCTGCTCACACTCATGGTGAAGGTAAGATAAAGCTGAAGCCAAACCAATAGCTATGTTCAGCCTATGCGACCAGTCAAGAACCACAGCTCCTGTATCTGTTTCCTGATACAGAATCTTATCAAGACTCCCATTAGGCATAAACTCATAGACGAGAAGCAATTCACCTTTCTCATTACACCAACCCTGCAACTGTACAAGATTCTTGTGTCGCAAGCAAGCAATGATGGATAACTCTGCCAAAAACTCGGTTTTGCCTTCGGTTGAGTTATGTCTCGATCGTTTCACAGCAGAGATCGTCCCAGATGAAACAAACATTGCTCTGTAGACATTCCCAAACGCTCCTCTCCCTATGACTCTACTCGAATGAAACCCTTTTGTAGCTGTGTAAAGCTCTCTGTAACTAAACTCTCTCAGACCTGTGATTAGCTCAGTCTTAAGCTCCTTCTCTGCTTTCACACTCTTCCATTTCTTCAAAGTGAAGTACCCAAACACCAAGAGAGCAAAACAGATTAAGATAGGACAAGAAATACCAAGCCCAATAGCAAGATTGTGTCTTTTTCTCCGCTTCTTACTCGGTATAGCCACAGGATCATTCACCACAGAACTATCTGAAACGTTGTGAAGATGATTAGATTTCGATCTAACCGGAAGAAACCCAGAAGTCTTGAAACTCCAATTCTCAATGAGATGAATCTCTGTGCTTCCTTCTGTTGAGCCAGAGAATCCAACATACATCTCACCGTTCAAGAACGGAGAGAGATCAACCTTTACTGATAAAAGAGGCTTCTCCGGCTTCTTCGTTGTGGCAACTGGATCAGTATAGCTCAAGAACACGTTCAACAAACGCAAATCGTTCTTGTAATCGATCCAAGAAGTGATCGATTTGCCGGATTTTAGATCAATCTGAGACGAAATCAAAGGATCCGAGGTCGCGATTGAGTTCAAACTATCAACATCTAAACCAACGTGATTACCGCTCGGATCGTTGAAATGAGGATCCAGTTTCGTATCGAATTCGATAGCGACGAATCGATTCTTCATCGGCTGAGACGAATTAACGAGACCCAAGTAACTACCGGGACTGCCCGAAGTATCGTTGTCATGAGAGAGGAAGAAAGCGAGCCCGTCGCCGGCGGAGGCTGGATCTGGGTTTAAGTTCTGAACAGAGAAGGAGAAGTGAGTAGAGAAAGACGCCGTGGTGTTCGATTCCGGATCGTAGAAACGGATCGGAGTGTTGTATATCACAGTACCGGAGCTCGTATCGGGAACACCTAGCTCTCTCGTGAGTCCGACGACGCCGTTTCGGAGATGCGAATCGCCGAGAAAAGTGAGGTTACGAATCGTGAAGGATTTGAATGCGAAGTTCACGTTGTCGGATGAAACGAAGACTTGTTTCGACATGGATAGTGCTGTTATCCATGTGAAGAAGACCACAACAAGAAGCTTTCTTGAAAGAGACATTAGAGAGAGAGAGAGAAAAGATGACTGTGGTGGGAAAATGGATTCGAATTGGATTATTATGATGAAGAAGGTGAGGGTATATTTGTAATTTGTGTGTGGCAACGGTTATCAAAGACTGGTGATGGATACGGTGTCGTTTTAAGAGTGGGAACAAAAGTGTTCAGGAGCGGGTCGGGTGGGGTTAACATGGACGCAGAATTCTAAACTGACCGTTTTAAATGGCATAGCGCCACCACGTGAACAACAATAGAATATAAATACTCTAGTGTATATGATTGATCATCTCTTTTACTTCATTTATTATTTTATCTGTCTGTTACAATAAACTCAATTTGACTCAAAGAGTAGTGTTGACTGTGTTTACTGTTTTGTAAGCTCACAATACATAACACTGTTATGTATAAACTCTATCCATCACATTTTTATTGGCAACTGTGAATGAGTGAGTGCTAATTGTTACTACTCTTTATATAATAAGCTCTAAATTGGACAGTAATTGAATATAATTAAGCTCTAAATCTTGGACGGTAATAGTTAGGCGATCGTGCTCCAAAAAAGTTATTTTAACGAAATCAACATTGAAAAAAGGGAAGTAGTGGTTATATTGAAAAAGAACAAATCTCTTTGCTTTCAGCACCTCCTGGCTCCTCTTTCCACTAAGAAAACCAACAGAACCTTATAATATAGAAGTAGCCGTTATGTATGAACATGAGCGTCAATAGGGATGACTAGTTAATTATTACATTACCCATTCACTGTTACATAAGAACAGTTTTGATAACTTTGTTACACAATAAGTGAAGAGTTAAGAATTCACAAAACTAATTTAAGCTTCAAGCTACTAAGGTTTAATGTTCCTCATTTTCAGCAAAAGATAAGCAACGTTTTGAAACACAGAGGTTCTTACTTTGTTTGTGGTTTTAAGTTTTCATGTCACTGGGAGACTGACCTTTGGAACTTATGCTATCTCGATTGGAACCTTCGCGGCAAAAGAACTGGGACATTCAAAACAAAACTTATCCATAAGTATGGCGAAAACTATTAAGCTTTAATTTTATTAAGTGTGATCGAGGGATCTTACCTTTGCTTATATCGCATTTTCTTGTTGCAGGGAAAGTAATTTTGGGATCAAGGTTTTGTTTGGAAAGGACTGCAAGCAGGACACTGCTCTTGCTGTATAAATAAGAAGCGCTGGGGTAAACAAATGGTAAATGACTAATGAGAGATGAACATTAAGGAATGAGAGAGCAATTCAGAAACAAAACCTGGCCCAAGTAGGAACAAATTTTTTGTTTGACATGTCTTCATTGTCGTCTTCCTCTTCATCTTCGTCATCTGAGCATTTGTATGGAGAAATGTCATACGACTCTTCCATTTCTTCAATTCCCATGTTCGGTTCTTCAGACATTTTCCCTGGATTGCTTATCCCCTATAAGCACAACAATTGTTATTTATAACGATTGGTTTCATAACTATAAGTGTCTACAAAAGATGAGAGACTTGTACCTTGAAATCATTATCCCTAGAGCTTCTAGAAGCAATGGTATCGTCACTGGAATTGCTCTTTGATCTCACTTCAGGGATCCTAGTATTCGCTTGTCCTCGGGTTTTCTCGGCATTATTTTGGTCTTCTTTGAGTTCCTTCTGTGCTTTTATCCTCGCATCCTAAAAATGTCGTTATTTTAAATTTAGCAAAATCTCTAACATCACAATAGTTAAACAAAACTTTGAAGAACAGAACAAGAGGAGGGGTCTTTACCATAGCTTGTCTTTTCAATTCTTTTTCAGCTTCAGCCTCTCTTTGTTGTCTCTGAATGTCTGCAATGCGTTGTCTTTTAGCTTCCTTCAACTTTTTGTCTTCTTCTTCCCTCTGCCTTTTCCTATCAGCCATCTCAAACTCCTTTCTCTTCCGCTCTTCTTCCTTCTTTTTCTTTTCCATCTCCTGCTTCCAAGCCATTTCCGCCTCCTTTTTCTTTCGATCTTCTTCTTTCTTTTTCTTCTCTATCTCCTGCTTTCTCATATTTTCCTGTTCCTGTCTTGCCCTTTCAAGCTTCATAGCTTCCTTCTTCAGCTTACGATCATTCTCTTTTTGTTCAGCAATTCGTTTTGAAGCCTCAGCAGCCTCCAGAGCCTTTACTTTGACATCCCTCTTGCCTGGGCGAAATGTAGATAGGGTCATGACAGGTGAACAAGAAGGTAAAATGAGACCTCCAATTTATTGGAAAATTCAAAAGCTTCATAGTGGAAAGAGAAATCAATTACCTGTAATTAGTGCAGGTGCTGGTTTTTGCTGCTGCACAAGTGGAACAAATGAAGTGATGTTGGAGACAATGTTGTTGTGCCTAGGTTCTTTTTCTGGTAATCGCGGACCTACAGTTGCCAAACTCGAGTTGCAAGACAACTTAGGCTTACTAAACCTGCTACTAGGCGGTTTAACATTTCTTCTAGCACCTGCTCCACCTTGGTTCTCTTTACCTTTACCCGTGAATCTTCGGTTACTCTGCTTTCCCACTTTACTTTTGACACTGTTGCACTTAGCGGAAAAGCTGAATGCAGTATTGACAGAGTCTAGACTCTGTCGATCAACAGGATTCTTGGCTTCAGAAACAGATGGAAGAAACTTCATAGGGTCTTCATTAACATCACCAAGAGATTTCCTTTCGGGAGAGACATTCTCCTTTTCAGAACCAGATGCCTCATTGACAGCTTCCGATATCTCATCTATGTTTTCATTCTCTTCAGCTATGCAAGGAAGTTCCAGAACTGAACTTCTTTGCTTCTCTGACCCAATAGATTTTGGAGTGTTTGTACATAAGTTATCAGCTTCCTCTTCTACGTTCTCATTCTCTTCGCTAATGCAAGGTAGGTCTGGTGTCTGACTGCTTCGTTTCTCTGAACCGGAAGACTTTTGCAAACTTCTATACCACAACTTCTCAGTTGGTGACGTGCAAGGATTCCTAGCCTCAGCACCAGACAGAGGCAAAGAGTCATTGTACGATCTTCCTGTATAATCATGGTTAATCCCTAAGTTATCAAAGACAGAGCTACCCTCGAGATTCTGACTGAAAAACATGCCATCAAGCAGCTCAGTTGAAACGGACTGATCCAAGTCTAGTTTTCCATCAAACTTAAATGTTTTAGCCAGATGTAATGACGGAGTGGTCCTGCAAGCAGACTTGCAAATCTGCTCTATCATGGCTGCATTTTGTGCTGTAGTTCTTGGAAGTTGGAAAGTTTCATGATTTAGCTGGTTTTTGGAGCCGCTTTGATTTTCATCATCCGTTTGGATTAAAAATCCCTCCAAAACAGGGGGGCTTCCATCGTCTGAGCTTATCAAACCCAAGGGTGGTAAACAAGGGGAACCTTTTGAATCGCGAACAATGCAACTAGCTAATCCATGTGAGGTTTCTCCAGCAAATGGCAAAAAGTTAATATTTTCTGATCTAACTCCCTGATCTGGAGCAATTTGACTCCTCTGTACACTTAGCTGTTCTGGTCTGAAGGAAAGCGAGGCAGGAGTCATCAATCCAGCTTCCTTGAATAAGTAACTCTGTAAACATCCATTTTTCTGGTTAATTGTACATCATACAGAACAAGAGAAATTATTATGACAAATTATTTTGGAAGTATTTAGAAATCATTATAGGACATTACTTGTTTTTAAGGGAAAGAGATTACTATTTAAAAGACATTAAACTTAAGAAGACAGAGAAATAGTGCACATACCTCTTCAAATCGTAACTCAGCTGAAGATGCAGATCCAATCATCTTTTGTAACTCAACACCATAGTGATCTGATGATGCAGATCCAATCATCTTCTGTAACTCAACGTCAAAGTTATTGAGGTTGTGACATGCAACTTCCTCTCGATGATGTACTGTTTCCCTAACAGTATCTGACTCGAGAATGTCTCCCTGCAAATATAAAAGCCCATGATTCAAAAAGCATCTTAATTACATTTGGAAGGAAGGAGCAGTCCAAGATTCTCATATATTGAGCTGTCCAAGACATAGGTAAAGAATTTTTACCCCTGGGCTTGACGAAAGCACTCTACTAGTTGGTTTTTCTAGGGTTCTTCTCCGCTTATTCTGCCTCATGGGGCCCCCAGTGGAGGAACTAGAGCAGAAAAATTCCTGGTACGAGCTCTCCAGATCATGAGATTCATCTGTTTCTGTACATTTTACTTCTCTGTTAATTGGAGGAACACCTTTTTCATAGGATGTTTCATGTTGAGCTCTCTTTCTCAATGCATCTTTATAGCCAGTGCTTAACTCTGTAGGTTCATTCTCTCCCACTTTTAAGCCAGGGTGGCTTGCATGCGATTCCATTTCTAGCACCATTTCTATTCTTGGCCGCTCCTCAATGTCATCCATTTCATCGTCAGCCGAGAGATATACTCCAGAATCAGTGAGAGATGGGACATCAGACACCTTTGCAGCGGGTGCTGGAGTGGGGATCTTCTCCATTGTTGATTTTTCTCGACTATTCCCTCGAACCTCATCGAAGTTGTGTTCTTCATTATCATCAAAATGGGTTGATTCAGGTCTCACAAAAACAGGGCGATCAGGGGTTCTCAGCGATGAATTTCCTTCTCTAATTTCAAGCTGGTTGTCAGCAGATTTATGATAAGAGCCAACAGAAAGAGCCTTGTATTCATTTGCTGATTCCTCGTCTATGGCTGAGCTTCTTGGCCTACTATTTCCTTCATGGCATTGGCTATTCCCAGCAATGGTCAATGAACCCAGTGGCTGCACTTCCTTGGACCCACAGCTAATATCACATCTTTTAGAATGGTCAATCAAGTTTTCTGGTGTACTGCTTTCCTGAAGTATAGGTTCAACCACCAATGGCTCACCTACCGTGATATCCGTTTGGTTTAAACTTCTAGAATTTGAAATACTGCTAATGTCAATCGATACACCAATGTTATCTTCCTCCAGTACTAAAGCTTCACCAGTAACCTCAATGGGCTTCAAAAATAAACTTTCATCGTCTGATTGCATTACTGAGTCCATTGGCTGCAGTTCAGCTGAAGAGGACTCAACAAAGCCCAAAAGCTCGGTCTTGGATATAGAATCTTGGATTGCACCCGCACACAAGGTCTCATCTGAGGAGATGCCAGTTTGGCTTACCCATTCAGCCGTTGAAGATCTGTCAGTCTCAACACATTTACCCTTTTCTTCTGATTGATTGTTGCTAGTAATTGTTTCAACTACTAAAACTTCCGCATCAACAGTAGAGGGATTCAGTGAATCTTTTACATGGCTACCTTGCAGTACTGAAATTGAATCTCTTGGCTCCACATCAACTGCAGAAGATTCAACAGAGCCTGAATGCTCGGTCTTGGATCTATCTTCTCGAGCATCACTTCTGGATCTTGCAATTATTTCAGACTGAAAGATACTCGCTCCAGCATCTGTCATTATAGAGATTTCATTAGTCATAGGTATTGCTTGAGGTAATTCTACTTCATGACCGGCCCGGTGATAGGGATTTGAATTTCTTGACTGAAAGTTACCAGAAAAGGAGTTGCTTGATTTTTGATGATTCTCCTTGGGGATATCTTGACTTGAGCTTTTAGATCTTGTACTTCCATCAAGATAAGCTGTTTCATTGCAACTTTTGGTTTTTGGATCATCCACTTGTTCATCTACTTCTTCAGATACTTCATTAGTTATCTCAATGGACTGTAATATGTCAATGTCGTTCACATGACCAGACTCGGGTACAGATTCTGGTACAATAGAAGCATAAGCCTCCCCACTCGAAGATTTTTTCACCGAATCCAACTTCTGATGCAAAGTAAAAGATTCTGTAGATAAACTAGTTTGAACACACTGATCCCCTTGTTTATCTTGAGAATTACTGTTCTCTACTTCGTCTTGACACTCATCATCATTCTGAGCATGCTTAAATAACTTTATCTCACTAACACTGTCAGACCTTAAAGAAGCAATCCCAAAGCCTAGATTTCCATCCGGAGAAGGTTTGAGATCATTTCTACTGTTTGAACGGCTTTTCAACGCTTTGGCACTACTACGAAACTCCAAATCTTTTTGACGTGACCTTGATCTCTGCATCTTAGCAAGTGATAATCCAGGGTCAAGCCAAGTGTCTGGATCAGTTTCTTCTTGACAATAACCGGGAGGTGATGGTTTCTGCTCACAACCAGTAATTGAGACACTTCTGGGAACCTTTTCCCCTTGGCTACATCCAGGAGATGTAGCATCAAGATTAGTTTCAACTCTCTGATTCTGGGAGTGTTTGGGAGATGAACAACTTTGATTCTCTCTGCAATCAATTGAGACACTTTCTGGCAATCTCTCTTTCTCATGGACATCACTTGGAGATGCAATATTAGCATCCTTCTCATGATAATGATTTGAAACGTGTCTGACTAAGTTGTGTGAGAGGTCGTGTTGTGGTTCCTCTTCCAGCAACTGCTCTTCTATCGGGTTATTTACCACAGACGTCAGGTCTTGTCTTACTACATTGTCAGCTAGAAAACTGACAGGCCGCTGGTATGAAAAGGGACGGCTGCTAGGACAAATGATGGAAGGTCTTGATGGAGGAAATAGAAGTTCTGATATAATCTCCTCCTTATTCAACTCTGTATACACCGAAAAAGATATCAAAGTAAGAATCACGACCAGAAACTCTTCTATTTAATCTAACTGAAACAGATATACAAGGGATGTAAGTTAATAATACTAATCTTAAGTCGATGGTTTCAAGTTTCAAGTAGCTAGCCATTACTTATCCCCATGTAAGAAATGAGAAAAAAAAAAAAAAAAAATCTGCAAAAAGGTTCTGAAAAGGTGAAATAGCTCTACACTTTGATGAAGACTGAGCACAAACACTTGTTTACTTAAATAGGAACAGCACGAACTCCTAAAACCTATTCACAGGAATTTTTAACATCAAAGTGTGCGTATGAACCCTAATACCAATTCCAATCTTTCAATCCGCCTCATCAGCGTATTTCAACATCAAATTATGTTGAAGTATCAAAAAAACTTCACAGCAACAATACCCAGTGAAAATGCGCTGAGGAAATGAAGAAAACTTAAGAATAAGGATCCGTAATCCCAAATAATGCTACTAATTTGCTCCAATCAGCCATAACAAATCCACATTTTACCATCACGGACAACGTTTTACGAGAATGAAAAAGAAATTGAACACTAAAATCAGAATGAGCAACTACCGGAAGTTTGGGAAGGTAGAGACGGAGACCAAAGCCACGACGGCGGAGATACCCCGGCGAGTAGGCATTTGGAGGCTAAATGGTGGTCATAGAGATCTACTTGTTGCTTAACCTGGTCGACGATTCGCCTCTTCCTCTCAAAGATCTGAACGAAAAGATTCTCAATCTTCACATTCGCCGCCTTCCCCTTCGGATTCTCCCCGACGGAATACATCTCCGACGACCTGCTCTAGAGAGAGAGAGAGCGAGAGAGAGTGACTATTAGCGCGGATTTGAATTTCAAAATTTTGGGGATAAAGATTTCATTTTCCTTTTCGCTTTCGTTTTCACCGAAAATAAAAAATAGAATGATGCTTTTTTAACCTCTCGTTACCTTTAAAACGACAACGTTTTAACAACATCCCTTTTATACGATGTCGTTTCAAACAATCATTTATTCTTTCGCCGTCATCGTCTTTTATTTTGTTGCCGGAGTGATCGTTAGAGACTGAGATTAGAACATCAAAGCTCAATGGATGTCCCCTTACCACTCGAGAAATTATCTTATGGATCTAACTCTGAGTAAGTAAATTTCGAGCCTTTTTCTCGAATTTGAACTTTGTCTCGAGTTTTCTCTCAATGAAAATTCAGGTTTTGTGAATTTGATCTGCTTAGTTACCTATGATGATGAGATTCTCACCAGGGTTCATTGTAAATTTTTTCTGGGTGTTTACTTTGTAAATATTGCTTGTCTGAATCAGGGACAAAACAACTTATGTAGTGCTTGTGGCAACTGGGAGTTTCAATCCTCCTACTTACATGCATTTACGCATGTTTGGTGAGTTTTATACTTGATCTGTTTTTGAATCCAATGTTCCTATGTTTGCTAATTGCCTTTCAGATTCGATCAATGCAAAAGTTCTCACATTTTTTTAGGCATTATGATCTAGCACTGTTTTTAGTTTAAAGTAGCTTATACATAGTATGCCGTTGTTGTTTACTAGCTCAGTGAAACGATCCGAAAGTATCGGATTTTGTTAGCTTTGTATGTTTTGGCTTATAAAACTAGCATATGACAAGAAAGAACAGAAGAATCTAGAGGTTTCTTGATATTCATCATGTTAAACAAAAGTTTCCATCATTGATGTTGCGACCGTTTGCCTTATGTTTTTTCAACAAACTATAAGTTTTTTTTTTTTTTCCATCTTTAGAGCTTACGAGAAATGCATTACACTCAGATGGATTTCATGTTCTTGGAGGCTATATGTCTCCTGTAAATGATGCGTACAAGAAGAAGGTATCATAGTTTTTGCATCTTGAGCATCTCAGTTTCTTTTAATAAATGATTTTGTTTTTCTAAGCCAATGCTAATGGGCATGTTAGGTGTGTGATGAAACTAAGAGCTTCTTTTTCTTCTTAGCTTCCATAGTTATTCTTTTTAGTTTCATTTTGAAATAATTAAATCATCAGATTATGGGTAGGGCCTTTTATCTGCAGAACATCGTTTAGAGATGTGTAATCTAGCCTGTCAAAGCTCTGACTTTGTAATGGTTGATTCCTGGGAGGTACTTTCTCATTCCTCGAAAAGCTTTTAATATACAACTTCTCTTTAGAGGAACGAAGTTTTGTTTACAAAACTGTGGAAGCTGTTTCTACAGGCATCTCAAAGCAGCTACCAACGAACTTTGACGGTTTTATTAAGGGTCAAGACTTCCCTTACAAACAATCGACTTGTACCTGAGGGTAAGATAACTGCCAAAAACTGTCCTTTATGGCCTTTTGCATCTTTCTACCCGTAGTTGATGTCATTTACATTTTTGTGTGATTGCTGGATCATCTTAGTGTGGTTGCTATGTTTGTTTCATCATAAATTTTAGCTACTACACAAATGACAAACTCAAATAGTCAAATTTACAGTATGTCGTTTCTAATGCTAGAATCTCTCAAAGTCATGCTGCTATGTGGCTCGGATTTACTGCAATCTTTCTGCACTCCCGGTGTTTGGATCCCTGAACAGGTAAACCAAGGCAGCATTATTATCTAAACAGAGATTTGTTTTACCGTTTCTACCCACAGTTATGCTCCTTTTTCAATATTGGGTATTGAAGGTAAGAACTATTTGTAAAGAATATGGCATTGTGTGCATCCGAAGAGAAGGACAAGATATTGAACATATGATCTCTGGTGACAAAACCTTAAACGAAAATCGTGTAAGTATTACCAGGTTTGTTTTCTGATTCCGCTGTTTCAGTCTGTGCTTGTACTCGGGTTTTAGTTAATGGTGCCACCTCGGTTTCTTTTGCAGGCTAACATCAAAATCGTTGACAATTTTGTTCCTAACCAGATCAGTTCGAGTAGATTAAGGTTGTGTGAGATTTATCCTTCTCAAGAACATTTCATCTACACACAAAAATGATTTCCCTTGCTCATTCCTCTGCTTCTTTCAGGCAATGCATTTCGCAAGGGTTATCGGTTAAATACTTGACTGAAGACGGAGTTATAGATTATCTCAGACAACATCAACTTTACACGGAGCTCACATGACAAAAGCTGAGAGGAGTATAATACTTCATCAGATCAAATATTACTACACAACCCATCAAATAGTAATCAGTTCAGAATCACCGGCTTTGGAAGAAGCACACTATGATGACAGCAAAACTCCCTCCCATTGAAGGGCATACCCTATACATTACTTATTTATGTCAGAGTTCTGACGATTTAAACTTTCATATGGTAACTATGAAAAGGAGAGAGTATTGTTCCATAACTTCCATTAGCTATTCTCTTGAATGGCGCACCCATCATCTATTATTATAAAACTTCTTTTGCTATTCGTTCGAGTTCTTTTCCAACCCACACCTTTGGATGTATGCACATTTTATATGAACAAAATAAGCATCACATCACATATATTAAAAGAGTAATCACCATAAGTTTTGTCGACGTGTTGAGATCGATGGTTCTGGTCCTGGCTGGTCAGCATAATATTACATCACACAAACACATAGCCAGAATATCAAAATACTCCACCAGACAACTGCGCCAAGAAATAGACGTTACAGCCTCACCAGTACCTAGCATTTTGAGTACACCGCCAAGAACAAAAAGTTCTGTCATGCCCTATAAAATAAATTGGGAATGGACAACGGCAGTAGCATTGATCGCAAATTGGTCGGGAGAGTGAACCGTTGAGGCGAATTTGTACATCCATATTCTTCCGAAAGCTTCTACTTTGACGGTGGAAGCCTGGGAGAAAAGCAACGCCGTCCTTTACAATTTTACCAGATTTCATGTAAACGTCTACCCCAACTAAACATTCCACATGAAGATTGGTGCAGCAGTCACTACTGCATTTGTAAAATCTCCTTTCGCTTTTTGGCTTCTTGCGATCCCAGATCAATGTTTTTTCTTCTAAGTTGCCTTCTTCGAATATCTTTGTCCCTTCCTCTATTTTTCCCTCGCAAATCTCACACCAGTCTGGTTGATCACTCGGCTCTTCTTCATCACAGAGTGTGAGCCAATGACTGTCATGTTTATACCTTACCCAATACGGCACGGTAATGCAACGGAAACATATAGTATAGTCACATTCCATGCAAACAAATTTTGAATCCTCACATTCTTCTTTGCATGCTTGACATTGTGTCCCTTCATGTTGGTCCCAAGGCATGAATAAGTCATGTTTGTGGCCAGGATATCGAACAGGTTCAACAGTGGAGGCACACCGTAGGTCTAGCTTGATGGATCCTTTTATTGAAGAAAGAGCATCATAGTAGAAGCCAGAGACGAAACGTTGACATCCTGTACACCGGATGATTCCACCTGGGTTAAATAGATCTTTCATTCTCGTAAACTTTAGTGTCAATGGCATTGGATATAAGGGATGTCGTTTCATGCGTGGAGCATTTGCACAGCTTTCATGGAGGATGAAGTTGCACTCCATGCATAAGTAGAATTGACCTTGGTAGATAGGAAGCGAACATCCTCCACAATATATATTTTCGTCATAAGCTCTGAAGATCTCAAGTCTAAGATGGTGTTTATGAAAAGGATGGCGTATAATTCCTTCAGCTATCCTCTGGAACGGCTCGCCATCATCTATCTCGTCATCTTCTTCGGGCACTCCTTCCAGTTCTTTTCCATCCCACACCATTGGATGTAATGCACATTTTGAATGAACAAAATAAGCATCACATTTATTGCAAGAGTATGCAGCATAGTTGTTGTCAACTTGTTGGCGACAAACTCCGCAAGACAACAACATTCCAGGTGGAAGAGATGAGGTAAAAGAGATACGGTGGTGGTGACGGGATATTCTTATGACATGTGGGAAACCCATACAACCTTCATGGATGACGAAGACACACTGGATACAGATGTAGGTTGGGTCAAACTCCTTAATCGAGGCACAAATATGGCAAACGGTAGAAGCTTGTGTAGGGAAAAAGGTGAGAGGGTGGGGATGGCTTTTTGGGTGGTGAACAACAAAAGGTACAGGCTTCATCGCACATATAGGATGCATACTGAAGTTGCATGCAGTACAATGATAAAACATTTGGGAGAGAGATACCTCACAACAAATGCACGTTGGAAACCATAAGAAACCGCCTTTCTTGTTGGTAAAAGGACAGCTGTAAAGTCGAAGAGGATGAAAGGGGTGGGAAGGGTGTATGATCTCAAGTGGAGACTCTACACATTCTTTGTGGAACTTTTGATAACAGTAGCGGCATACGTAATAGTCTGCGCAAAGCATGTTTTTACTTCCGCATGCACCACACTTGGATCTGTAATATTCAGGTTCTTTATCGTCGGACGACGGAAAGAGAGGGACAACAGGGAGCTTACAGCTGCTGATAATATGGTAGTCGTCATCACAATCATGGAGAGACTCGCCTTTGCTGGGGAAGTGAGGGAGACAAGTGTAGGGATGAAGCTCATCAAACTCATTACCATCATCGTCTTTCCTTAGATTGAGAATATGAAACTCGACACGTACAGTAGGGCATAAGAAAAGAGGGAGGTCGTCGCCATGAGAATCCATGGCTAGTACCTCACGGGAAGAGGTTGGTTCGTCTGCTTGTCTTAACGTGTGAACCAAGAATGATTTGCCATCAATTTCCGCCTTACGAAATACACCCACGGAACTCATGGCTGCATGCTACAATGGGGATTTGGATATTTTCGTGATTTTCCTCTTCTCCTCCTTGCTTTTATATTAGCCACAGCCGTAATACAACTACGCTTTCGTCTTTTTGTGTTCTTTAAGATGAAAAGTTCATTTTGTATATGATTATAAATAAAAAAAATCACTAGAGAGGAGATCGTCTTTTCCGGATCTTGTTTCTAAAGTTTAGTTTTATATGAAATGCACTCTCGGTTTGAGCAAGCGTTCGGATCCTATCTGTGAACGGGAACGTGCCATGACTTTACGTAGGACAAATTTGCACTATAAAAATAGTATACAATACATAATATTATTACTACAAGAGTTAACCAGAAAAATAATACAATCCATATAAATAAATTTAGATAAAACTATAAGTTTATAAATTGAAAATCGTATATATTAATCAGTATAATTAATTATATAGTATTTTAAATACATATATTTGCTCCTTACGAAGTAATACTTGGTCGTTTTATATTCTTATTTTGGTAGTTTGGTTTCTTTATATTCTTTGTCATAAAATATGTCGGTTCATTATTGATTTTAAATCTCTATACAATCTTCATAATTAGGTCGTCGTCCCTTTACTTGTATTTTATTTGAGCAACTAGTAAAGATTGTACATATTCTAGTTATTTCTTTTTTGCCACGGTCATTACATTGTTTCATCAAGATATTACATTTTATTTTATTGTTGGTCTTTCTATATTATTTGTTGTAGGAAGTCGTTAATTATATTGTTTTCTCGATTCTAGCGAAATCTATCTCTCTTATATACGATCTAAGATTGATTTCTATATATGTTTTAGTATTATTTGTGGTCAAGGATCTAAAGGTATTTCTATATTATTTGTCATAAAGTCGTTGACAACGGGAACAGGTCCTGGATTCACGTAGGACAGACAATACGTTAACTGCAACATGAAACAAAAGTTTAAAGTAGCTTCCTACTTGGTTGGTTAACATAAATATGATTCTTACTTACATCCAACTCCTAACAAAATGTAATGAACTAGTTGGTGTTATATGTGCTCTTAGCTTACGACGAAAGCCTTTATTTGAGTATCTTCTAGTATGCGAGCTCGAAACGTATGTGGATTACTTAGTTACTAACTAGTATATTAAAGGCTGTATTAATTAACACGATAAGCTCTAAATTCTATAGTCTATAATTGTGATTCTAAACAATAGTTTAGGTGGCTGCACCACGGGACAAAGTCTAAGCGAAGTTCATGAATCGGAATCGGATGAGTTTTAATCACGGAATAAAGCAAATAAACTTCTTAATCATGGACAATATGCCAAATCACCATACGTAAATTTCTTACCATTATAGTGGACTAGCCCTGGGGCAAAATATTCGTTAGATTCGCTTCGCCTCGATATTCGTTTCGATTCGATTCGAAAAATTCAAATATCTATAAGATGTTGAACCGAAGCAAATATGAAAATGTAGTATTCGTAAAAACCGAAGCAAATAACAAATATTGGTTTTTTTAGTGCCGAATATCCGCTTCGCTTCGTATGTTTATATATATTTATATATATGTATAAATATAAATTATTATATAATATATATAATATGTGTATTTATAGATTTGGGTATATATCTGATAGGCCTATTATTCAAATTATTATATTTTGGCTCGTTGGATTTTTTTTGTTGCTAAATGTTGTTTTTAAGGAAATAAAACTTTACTAGAAAAATCATTATTAAAAATAAAATGTAAGAATTCTATGGACGGTGGTTACATTTCCTTCTTATTTTGAAAATATGTCAAATAAAACCTCTAATATTTCATATTTTGCACTTTATATTTTTGTACTATATGTTTTTTGTTTCAAAAAAAAATTAGATGGGTCGAAGCGAAGCGAAACAAGTAATTCACAAATATTACGAAAGATATTCGAATATTCGAAGTTCCGAATACTCGAAAATTTACGAATCGAAGCAAATAGCAAAATCAATTATTCGATCGAAGCGAAGCAAATAACAAATATCACAAATTTTCCGAATATTCGCTTCGTGCCCAGGGCTGTAGTGGACAAAATGTTTTTGTATCACAATTTTAGTTATAGATCAAATCGTTGCACGTACGTACATCTTAGTTTTGATTAACTAAAATTTTCAAAGGTTCTTCCAAATTATGTAATTTTCACACAAAAAAAATCTGGCATCGCTGCATGATATCATTCTGTAAGTATTTTCTAAATTCTAATGCAAACCGATTACGAGTAATTAAGTTGAAGCTACAATAGCTTCTACAAAAGTTCAACCGATATTGAACCAAACCGAACCAAGGTTATCTCCTTTAATTCCTGGTTAACTTTTGTCTTAAGAGAACCGAGTGTTGACCAAAAACAAAATTCACTCAGTCCTCCTCAAAACGCCGCCGATAACTTCAATATTCCCTATTCTGGTTAGATTAGTTGTGTTTCTTTTATATACACCAAAAGCTTTTTCGTTTCTTTTTCCTATGTCTTTGACTTTCGTTTGCCGGTTCTTGAACGTTTACGAGACGTTCCCGAACCTTCCAGCTTCCATTTGAGGTCTCCATTAGCAGCAAGCAGAGACTGTTCACAATGGAAAGTCCTGAGACTAGTGACAGTAGCATACACAACAGCCTCACTTCTCGGTTCAGAAACCGCTCTTCTCTCAACCACGCCGCTTTGCCCGCAACCAGATTCTTCAACCGCTTTGTCTCTCAGGCTTTGTAGCACAGCCTCCTTGTCAATAATCTCTCCATGCTCTTCTGTTGAGGCCTACATTGGTTTTATTGTAAAGGCTGTGAGAAATATGCTCATTAGTCAAGATAACAAAGATCTTTTCTCGATCGTAATAAACCTTGAATTCAAATGGGAGGCTAAGTTGAGTGGAGACACAGTCACAACCGTCACTGTAGTTAACTCTGAAGAATATATCAAAAGCTTCATTTCGTGTTGTTCTCCTGAAAAAGGACGAGAAAATATATATATAAGAGTAAGAAATAGGACAAGAACTGACTTCTAAGTTCTAAGAAGGTGTTTAGTTTTTAACCTTTTCATAAGAAACGGCTGCTTATCAAGAACCGCATCTTTGTACTTATGGTTATCTGAGAAAGAAACCTGGATTGCAAATTAAAAAGATCAGAAAGGACTTTGATTCTTTTGGCACTGGTTTAGCAGTTTCTAGAGACTACCTCGATAGATTTGATGAATGGTAACTGAGAAGCCAATCCATGAACACTTGCAACGCGCAGTGTCCAATTAATATACCTCTGATCTGTAACAGGAATGAAAAACATGCGAGTAGGAAACATCACACATCCAATTACAGTTCAGGATAAAAAACACAAAAGATTCAGGGAAAGCTACCTCCGCTTAAAGATTGAGTTAGAATTATCTGGAAAAGATCAATCCTGACATATGGAGGAATCTTCATGTTAAGTGATTCCATGACCCCCGCAACCACCTGCACATCAGAATAGTGAAGGAGAAATGTTTTTATAAGACTCAGTTCGGTCGTAGTGCTGCAAGGGAATCTGTTAAACATCACTTAAATATAGAAACAACAAAATGTAAGTCTTACCTTATCAACAAGACCATGAATCACTACGTTTGCTTTCTTGTCCTTTGGGGTTTTCTGCAAGGACAAATATTATCAGTCAACAATAAACAATTCCCCATTTAAAATCCAGACAAAAAAAACTTCTCGATATACACACTCCAAAGAAAATATTAAGGCTTATGGCAAAGAGAGTGTAACATCCAGAGAATCCTTAGAACTCATACCGATGGTAAAAGAGATGTATACCTGAAGATTAACTATGACGATCTTCCCTCCACCTCTGAGACACTTGAGAGGCAAATTGCAAGCAGGGGTTATCTGCAAACTGCATATAGAGGTTAGCCTTGAAAAAATCAAAATGCAAGATGCTCCCAAGAAGGGAGTTGCTTGGCTATATGATCAAAAATGCTAGAACTAATATGAGAGTTATTATGAGTCATTGATTACCTGGTACCCAAACAAAGTACAAGATCAGCCATTTTGCAGTGCTTCTCTGCAGGATCAATCTCTTTTGGAGGTAAAGCATCCTGCCATGTAAACATGACAGCATAAGTGAATACAGATAACCATTTCAAAGTTCTTAAGCTAAATTCAAGGGCAACACGTTTGTATTAGAACAGCAAAGAAATTTTTACCTCCCAGTCTAAGACCGTATCTTTAAGTTTGGCTCCACACTTTTCAGTGGAGCATCTTCTTGATGTCTCCTTCAATCCAATAGTTTCCACCTCGAAATCACGCAGGTACCTTCAAAAGTTCAAGAAAGCTGTTACAATTCACGGGCCAATGACCATAGGGACAGTTAAAGACAGCTCTATCAAAAGGGATCACAGTGTAACTGTGTAAGCGAGAGGCAAAAACATGTATTTTTGCCTTACTCTGCTCCACATGATGGGCACATCTCCATAAAAGAGTCTCCATGCAGTTCTGAAAGTTTCTCTCTTGGTATTCCAGATCGAAGATGTAAGCCGTCTACATTCTGATAAATAATGGAGCAACAAATACTAGTGAAAATTAGAGATGTAAACATTGAAACAAGATTCTCTCAGTGATCAAGAACGATCATTAAAAAGTAATTCTGTGGAGAAAGAGGATTACCTGACTGATGACAAATTTTAAAATGCCAGCTCTTTCTAATTCAACCAAAGCCATATGAGTCATGCTTGGCATTGCACGATGAAATGGCAGAGATGCTTTGGGTAAATCTTTGCCCTCGCGCTGAAACAAATAACCACAGCTCACAAATGTTAACTTGCAGGAGATGATGCTCTATAAAAAGATAGGTCTATAATCAGACTGTCCAAGGAAAATGCTATCAAGTCAAGCAATGATGATGGCAAACCACATATTGAAAATCAGAAAGTTATATGGAATATACAGGCCAATCAATGACAGAATCCAAAATCAAACTAGCCGGAGTAAGATAGTCAAAGAAAAGAGGAGTAAAAGGCGTTGGCTCACACCTGTAACGTCCAAATTCCTTTAGGCCCTCGGAAATCAGGAATACCACAAGAAGTAGAAATACCAGCACCTGTGAAGACTACTAGATGCTTACTCTGCAAACATAAACCAGCTTCTTGAAAATACTTATATAAGAACAAGAAACAAAACGAAAGATGCAGAAGCATCAAAAAGAATATGAAAAGAGGACACAGAACCAGACCTTTTGAATCATCTTAGCAAGTTCTTCGATCTGCATTACCCAAAACCAAAATCAGACAAACACCAGAGTTAGCACAATGGTGAATCAAACCAAAAAAAAAAACGCGTCAAGATTCTAGCAACCAAATCCTTTATCAGACCTCATTGGCCAAACATTTGTCTTGTTAGATTAAAACAATGATAAACAAACAAATCAAATTCTCAACACAAATCCAGACAAAGGCTTTTTGCATAATCAGTAAATAAAAACAATTGACATTGTCTACGGATTATGTTTTTTGCAAGAGACCAACAAGAAGTGAAGAGACCTAAGCTCATCCTAAGATGCTTGGATATAACCCAATTCCATTCTTCAATCAACACAACACAATGCAAGTCCAAAAACAAGTACGGTAAAACCTAGAAACTATATATCATACGAATTATTAAGTACTATACAGTGTTGAACTCTCTAATAACCATCTAAAAGGACAAGATAAAGCGTTAAAAGGCGTAATATGAACATGTGATCTAAAATCAAACACAGAACACACGAAGGATCAGCTGTAAGAATCTAAGCTCCTAAGCTACCAATCCAGAGACAAAAATCAACGGAATAGAATGTGGAGAAGACAAAAATCCGAGTAAACCCAGACGGGAGAAGGAACAAAAGTAGAAACCCCAGAACAACAAGAACCTTGCATTGTAGAACATGAGATGGGTCGAAGAACTCGGCCATGCCGACTTGACCAACATCTTCAATGAAGGACAATTTCTCTGCGTAACCTAAAGACATTAGATTTGTCTTCTCTTTCGGACAAGAACACCTTCTCGATGTATATATAAAAAGCAGAGGGGATCTCTCTTTCTTATAGACTTGGGCAGTGACTTCTTCTATTTTTGAAGAATCTCAATATATTTTCTTTCTTTGTAATTATTTTATTTCGTAAAGCTATGAATATTTGTTGGATAATTTCAGAGATATATTTTTCAAAAAATATAAAACACTTAAGATTTTAAACTTGTTAGTTTTTACTAAAAATATTACTAAAACTATTCTGAACCCTAATTTTTTGTGATATTAATTTTGTTTTAAAGAGTTAAAAAAATATTATTTGGATTTAAAATTTGTTTTATGGTATTTATATTTATAAAATAAATATTTTGTCTCTAAGGAAAAAAAATACATTTACCTAAAACAGCATAGCTAAATTTAGCTGATGTTATCATTGCAATTTTTATTTTTACATTTTCACTTAAAAAAAACAAATTAGATATATAATCTTTTACTTTTCTAAAAATGTAATCAGGAAATTCTGAAGTTGTGATATACGATCTCTTTAGTTTCAGACTTTGAATGGTAATATGTGTGTCAAGTTCACAGTCGTAAATCATATAGTACAAAACTTGGACTCGGTTCCGGTATGATTGATTCATTGTAACAAAACATTCATCTAACTAGTTATGCCAAAAATACTATGAATATAAAATATGATAAGTAAAATTTATCTTCTGGATTTAAATTTAGATTGATCTTTGTTGACGTTCTGATATATGTTATTGCTGGATTGCTGATACCAGTTTACACTAGATTAAAGTCTAGTTTCAACCGAGCCCGATTGAAACTCACCGGACAAAACCAGTTTGATTCATATGAACAAGTCGATCGGTTTGGGATTTGACTTTGGCTATGAATGATCACTATATATAAGATCATAGATCCCTAATAGTAAAAAAGTCAAAAACTAGGGTGAATGGGGGATGATGCATTGATCCGGATCCAGCTAAACCCATTTATTGGTGAGATGTGTGTTTGGGCGTTTTTTCAACACATTTAGTAACGATACAAATAAATGTGTTGATGGGAAGGAGTTATTTTTTCTTTCTTTCTTTTTGCATATTTATGCCTGCAATGATGTGAACAGTGAACATATTGACTTCGAGTGCTTCTATTATTTCATTTTTTTTCAAGTGCACGTTACATATTATGTAGCCAACTTAATTACCGATCATTATATAGAGATTTATATTAAAACTTCGACGTGTAGAACATTTGTCATTTCACTATCATGCAGAAACAACTAATGATGGGAAAAGTTATGCGCAATACTCATCAATCGTTACACTAGCTAACTAAAAGATGTATGTGCCAGGTACTAGCTACTCGCATCGAACAATACGTGTCTCACGCAAAAACAATATATTGATAACTGGACGGTCAATCCAAACTATGCAAGCATAACTCGGTATTTCAAATTTTCAATATATACATCCAGGTTGAAGTAGACTCAATAGTATCTCAGTCGACATCTCATAAAGATTTTTCACAACATTCAAGGAGATATTGATTCTGATCAACCAAACCAAAGTCTTAAAACACTCCAAACAACCGCATATCACTTCACGTGGTCTTCATAAGGCACCACACTTGTGTCTTGAGTAACGTTAACCATCTCTTCAGTGGTACCGTTCATTTACACCGTAACAGTCGTCTCCCGATCGAGAATGCCAAGGAACAGACAAAGACGATATAACTAAATTCATGCTTAACTTAAAATAACAAAAATTAATAATCCAACTATGTTCTTGATTTTTTAAAAGTTTATACCATATATAAATCTTCATCTTTCCCATGCATAGGACATAACAAAGATCCAGACTTAATTTTTACACTCATCTTGATACTCATGTTACCCACAACACATCTTCTTTATATAGGACATCTTTTGCTGACTATGGTAACGCTGTACGTATAAATTCCAAAGTGCGTATAATTTGTCATTACATGAAATAAATTTTGTCTACATCCGTTAAAAGACACAAACGATTTCTTCAGAAATTCTCCAACACTTACGACATGTGTTATGCCATGCGGCAGACAATACGAAACTCAGGAAAAATTTTCATATCTTCTTACTATATATCTCAAAACCAAAGACCAAACTCATCATCATCATCATCATCATCATCATCATCTATCTCTAGCTAATTAGTCATTTACTCATCATCATGTTGTCTCTTCATCAAGCTTCGCTCTATATTACTCTAATCACCTTTTATCTATCACTTCTCAACTGTGTCAATCTAATCTCAGCTTCGGACTCAAATTTAAACACTGGCTTTTGCACTCCATACCCATGTAACCAACCGCCTCAACCGCCTTCCTCTACAGGCTACTCTCCATACGGTAATCCTCCTCCCCCGCCTTCACAGCCTTCACCGTCTTCATCACCACCTCCGCCGCCACGTTCTCACTGCCCTCCTGTTCCGGCGTCAGGCTGTTGCAACCAACCACCACCTTCCACAACGTATTCTCCTCCTTATCCTTACTTTTATACTCCTCCTTATCCTTACGGTACTCTCGGCGGTGGAGAAAACGGTGGCGGTCAAGGAGGAGGAGCAGGATATGGTGGTGGCCAAGGAACCGGAGCAGCGGTGTCTTGCTATTCTTCTTCCGTGCCGGCTTATGTTTTGATGTTTGTCTTATCTTTATGCTTTTGTTGGGCATAGAATTTAGACAAAACATTAGCTCTATCATCATGAAGCAACCTTCCTTTTATGTTATTATCTCAAATTTTTTTGTTTGTAATAATTTCAAAGTAAATTCTAATAAAAGGAATTATCATCGTCATTGTTCAATAATCAAAAAAATAATAATAAACCGAAGTTAAAATCGAAAACCGGTTGGGATACATAATTTTGAGGATCAGATCTCAATCGTCCAGGTGGCAACACATTACCTCAATCCAGACTTCAACGGTGGTGATTCCTTCTGGAATACAAATAACTAGAAGTGGACCCGCGCTATACCGCGGGGGAATATTCATGATTTATGCAACGATAATAAATTATAATATATTATACTTCTTATTATTTCTACGGTAAATTATATATATGTACATGAGTTTAGATTAAACAGTAGAGAAAAAGAAGCATTTAACAACGTGATTTGATACGTAATTTTCAGTTTGATCATATTAGTAGTAGAAATAATAATATAGGTAAAAAAATTTGGTGACCAAGAAAAAAGAAATAATATTCATTTCCAAAAATTACATTCTCACAATATATATTGTGGCGAATTAAGCTGCAAAGAATTGTGTTCAAAGAAAAAATTATTTATAAGCCGCTTTACTATGTGATTGTGAATTTTGCAAGCCAACCCGTGATTTTTAATAAAAAATAATGACATAAAAATTAATAATAATTAAAAAATAGATAAATATTAAATAAATATATAGCTAATAAATACCGTATAAATAACTTATAAAAACTTTTTACAACGATATGTAATTCAATTTGATCATTTTATTAGTATCAAAAATAATAATACAGATAAGATATTGCATTTGAAAAAATTACATAATCACAATGTATTTAATTAAAGACATTTAACTAATTCCAACTAATTAGCATTCTTATTAATTTTATTACTATTATTTATGTATTCATATATGCATTTTTATATTTTATACCAAATATTTTTAAATTATGTTTTTATATATGCATTTTTATATTTTTTATATTTATAATTTTTCTTCAAAAACATTATATTTTTTATTAGTTTTATATAAGAATTTCTTATACTAATTTAAATATTTTTAAAAGATTGTGATCTTTTATATTCATAAACATATTCTTTTTATATTTTTCGTTAATATAGCTTTGTAAAATATAATAATTTAATATTAATATATATAGTAGTTTCCTAAATTATATGAATTTATTATATAATTTTCGAAATAAAGTTTAATTTAAAATAGTTTCCAAAATTATAGGAAATTATTGTATAATTTTCGGAGTAATGCATAATAAACATAGTTTCCTAAATTATAGGAATATATTAATGGAGGTTAATAAAAAACAGAATATATTAATGTTTCCAAAATTAGTTCAGATTTTATGGTTTATATCTATATTCGAAATTTTGATCCAAATTATAAGTATCCATTTAGCAAATTTCGGGTATTTTTGCTAAATTGATCCGACCCATTTCCTATTTGTACTTCTCTTTTACTAATATAGGGATAATAAAATAATTTAATTCCTGAGAGGATTCGAAAAAAAAGCTCTGTTATCTTCAGAGACGTTTATCAGAGAGAGAGGCATGAATGGCTTCTCTTCCTTTCAACACTATCCCGATTAAACTTCCGTATTCAGTATCAACAAAAGCTTATTTCAAACTTCACGATGAACAACCTCAAGCCCCTTCGTCCACGTCTTACTTTCACCGCGTTTCGTCTCTATGTAAGAACGGTGAGATCAAAGAAGCTCTGAGTCTTGTTACGGAGATGGATTTCAGAAACTTACGCATTGGTCCTGAGATATACGGAGAAATCCTCCAAGGATGCGTTTACGAGAGGGATTTGTGTACAGGGAAGCAGATTCATGCTCGGATTTTGAAGAACGGTGATCTCTACGCTAGGAACGAGTACATCGAGACCAAATTGGTGATATTCTACGCCAAGTGTGATGATTTGGAGATTGCTGAAGTGCTCTTCTCGAAATTGAGGGTTCGTAATGTTTTCTCTTGGGCGGCTATCATTGGTGTGAAATGTAGGATGGGGTTATGTGAAGGAGCTTTAATGGGTTTTGTTGAGATGCTTGAAAATGAGATTTTTCCTGATAATTTCGTGGTTCCGAATGTTTTTAAGGCGTGTGGTGCGTTGCAGTGGAGTAGATTTGGGAGAGGGGTTCATGGGTATGTGTTAAAAGCTGGTCTTGAGGATTGTGTGTTTGTGGCTAGTAGTTTAGCTGATATGTATGGGAAATGTGGTGTTTTGGATGATGCTAGGAAGGTGTTTGATAAAATTCCTGAGAGAAATGTGGTTGCTTGGAATGCGTTGATGGTTGGTTATGTGCAAAATGGGATGAACGAGGAAGCGATTCGGCTTTTATCTGATATGAGGAAGGACGGTGTTGAGCCTACTCGTGTCACTGTCTCGACTTGCTTATCTGCTTCTGCCAATATGGCTGGGGTTGAAGAGGGGACACAGTGTCATGCCATTGCTATTGTAAATGGACTGGAGCTGGATAATATCCTGGGGACATCTTTATTGAACTTCTATTGCAAAGTTGGTTTGATAGAGTATGCTGAGATGATTTTTGATCGGATGTTTGAGAAGGATGTGGTAACATGGAATCTGCTTATATCCGGGTATGTTCAACTAGGTCTAGTTGAAGATGCTATCTACATGTGTCAATTAATGAGACTAGAGAAGCTGAAATATGATTGTGTCACTTTAGCGACATTAATGTCGGCAGCTGCACGTACTGAGAATCTAAAACTCGGGAAAGAGGTGCAGTGTCAATGCTTTAGACACAGCCTTGAATCTGATATCGTTTTAGCCAGCACCACGATGGATATGTATGCCAAGTGTGGCAGCATTGTTGATGCTAAGAAAGTGTTTGATTCCACAGTAGAGAAAGACTTGATACTGTGGAATACATTACTTGCAGCCTATGCAGAGTCTGGTCATAGTGGAGAGGCTTTGAGATTGTTTTATGAGATGCAGCTAGAAAGTGTACCACCAAATGTGATAACATGGAATTTGATCATTCTAAGTCGTCTAAGGAATGCTGAGGTAAATGAGGCCAAGGAAATGTTCTTGCAGATGCAGTCCTCAGGGATGACTCCAAATCTTATCTCGTGGACAACTATGATGAATGGAATGGTACAAAATGGTTGCAGTGAGGAGGCGATTCATTTTCTCAGAAAGATGCAAGAATCCGGGATGAGACCAAATGCGTTTAGCATCACTGTAGCTCTCTCTGCTAGCGCAAATCTAGCATCATTGCATTTCGGAAGATCAATCCACGGGTACATCATAAGAAATCTACGGCATTCCTCTTCCGCTTCTATTGAAACTTCTTTGGTTGACATGTATGCTAAATGTGGAGATATCAACAAAGCAGAGAGGGTTTTTGAAAGTAAGTTATCCAACGAGTTGCCTCTCTACAATGCCATGATCTCGGCGTATGCATTATATGGTAACGTGACAGAAGCAGTCGCTCTATACAGAAGCTTGGAAGATATGGGAATGAAACCAGATAGCATAACATTCACAAGCCTCTTATCTGCTTGTAACCATGCTGGGGATATTGACCAAGCAATCAGGGTTTTCACTGATATGGTGTCAAATCATGGTGTGAAACCATGCTTGGAACATTATGGACTACTGGTAGATCTCTTTGCATCAGCCAAAGAAACAGACAAGGCCTTAAGGTTAATCGAGGAAATGCCATACAAGCCAGATGGAAGAATGATCCAATCTTTGGTTGCTTCTTGCAACAAGCAGCATAAGACAGAGCTTGTGGACTACTTATCAAGGCAGTTGCTTGAAACGGAACCTGAAAATTCCGGTAACTATGTCACGATATCGAATGCTTATGCAGTCGAAGGAAGTTGGGATGAAGTTGTAAAGACGAGAGAGATGATGAAAGCTAAAGGTCTGAAGAAAAAACCTGGATGTAGTTGGATTCAAATTAAAGGAGAAGAAGAAGGAGTCCATGTGTTTGTTGCGAATGACAAAACACATGTTAGGAACGATGAGATACAAAGGATTTTAGCATTGTTACTAAAGGATACGTGTTCAGAGATTTGACATGATATTATGTGAATGAAATGTAATAATTTAGAACATATATTCACAATCTCAATTAATTGAAGATATGTTTTCGTAATTACCATCGTGTAATACTCTAAGATAGTACGAAAGAAACTACCATATCGTATCGTAAGTGACAAGGGACAACAAACCGTTTCGTCAGAGCTTCAGACAACTACAGTTTACTTTACTCTCAGACAGTACTAGTTTACTACTATTCCAGCTAGTACAAGGACCGACCGATTGTCGGTGGAGAAACTGAAAACAGATCACAACCGTCCACGTGGTATGTATAATGTACGTATATTTGATAACTTGGTCCCTGCGCCACCAGTTTCAGGCCTCATCTCCGGTTTTAGCTGACCGTAACGATCACGCATTCATGCGTTTTTCAAGCATTTGCTTTGTCTTCACCGACACTTAGTAAAGCACATGGACACAGTGAAAAGAACTCAGTTTCCCGTCTAAATCAAACTTTTAAGGAACAAACAAGGTTCCGTTTTTGTTAACACAATTTTTACAAGTTTACTATAAGACTTAGGATTCTTAAATATTAAACGAAATAGAAGAAGATTCTATGCTTGTGAAACGGGCTTAAATTTATTAATAATTGGAGTAATGAGTTTTCTGATACCTTAATTTATGAAGAGGAGATACTCTCTTCCAACTCCCACGTGACTTGTTTTTTTTTCTTTTTTTTTTAATTTAATTTTATCATATATAAAAACAAATTAAATGTTGTATGTTTTTCTAGACTAAAAAGGCATTTCTATTTTTAGCTACGTATACAAAGTGAACATCATCATCTTAATCACATGATTGTTGTGATCTCTTCTCAACAAAGAAGAAGAAGAAGAAGAAATCATAAATATAGTTAGCCAAACTAAATGTGATAATTAAACACTTTAGATGAAAAGGTTGGATAAGTTTGGGGCCATGTTGTAAAAGCAAGAGTCTTACGGATTGAACTAGATCAGAATAGTAAAAACTGGGTTTCTCAAAACGCTATCTTTGATATATAGAAATTCTGTTTACAATGGGTTTTTCCCTAAACAAATTCTTAATCTCTCAAAGACCCTCCTTCTAAGATCATACACTTGATCTTAGAATCACTCAAAGAAACCCTATGCACTCGATAAGCTCTCAACTTTCTTTTCTCTCAAGTTAAAGCTTATTGCAAGATCTCTTTCTCTTAATCGTGCCAAGCTTTCTTCAAGCCTTGACTCCCTATTTATAGAACTAGGACATCTCCATACAACAGGAAATTCCTATTCCACTTCTAAATAGGCTTTAGGATATTTTCCTTTTTCTTTATGGATTAGGAAATTATCCAACTCTTCTAATTTACTTTTATTCTTATAAAAGTAAAGTCTTCACGCTTCTAGATGCTTCTAGACACTTCTTCTTTGTCTTGTGCCCAAGCCAAACCGCCTTTCCTCACTTTCCTTCTTTGTTGTTTCTTCTCTTGTTAAGTCTTCTGAACTATTCGCTGCACTAGTACACTCTGTTGTTCAGATATGCATCTTCAATCTCCCCCTTTTTAACCTTGTAGTCTTCAAGCAACTGTACATTAGATCTTTGTACTACCAAAGTTTTAAGTCACGACAAACTTTGAAATACTCTGAAATTCAAAGAAGTCTTAAGCAAACTGAGTTCCTAGATTGTTCAACTTGAAACTTAAAACTGAAACAAACGGAAGCAAATTGCAAAGTTCAATCAAAAAACAAAAAACTTCAAATACTCCCCCATGATCAAACAACTCATCATTAGCAACAGCAAGCAAAATACTCCCCCATGATCAATGATCTCTTCTCCCCCTGCTTGAGATACATAGGTTAAAAAACCTCAATTAAGCTTTCTTCGTCAAAGGATGATTCTGAATCAAGCGATCAACAACTTCAGTAAGTTTCCTCAGAACATCATCCGAAAGCTTTTTCAGAACAACAGCAGTATCCACCAAAGCTGCATAAGATGCTGCATCACTGTTATCTCCACTACATGGGAGACGAATTTCCCCAAGCTGAATAACATTATGACCAGGAGTAGAACCCTCATGCGCAGGAGCAGCAGTACAACCAAAACTGTCATCACTTGGATACTTCTTAGCATAAACTTCACCAGTGCGAGGATCTTTTACATAGTCAGTAGCAACAATAAAGTCCTCATCTTCACTATGAATATCACCCTGTACAAGCAGCAACTCAGTGATAATCCTTGGAAAAATCAGCCAACGCTTATCGTCATTCTGAATTGAATTCCATGCCATGACCTGTTCATAGACCAGCTGACCTACATCAAACCGAATACCTTGAAGAATCTTGTAAACTACTCTGGCCCGTTTTTCAGCAAGATGATTCTTATGTGAGGATGGAACCAAATTGTAAGCAGCAATCATAAGTAATGCTCCAACTCCAGCAGGTAAATTTTTGACACTTAAACCTTTCCAGTTAGTTTTATCTTTCCCACTAAGAACTCTGGCAACCTGATCAATTGCAACATCATTAACAGCTGCATCTGCTCGACGTTCTGCTTTAGTCAGAGGCTTCTGAAGTAAAGCACGATTAATAGCTGTTGGAGAAAACTCAAATATCTGACCCCGAACAAACACATGAACACCAGAAGAGGATGCCTCAGAAGGAAGATTAGCATAAAACTCACACACAATTGCCTTGACATAATCAACTAGTTCAAAAGCGAGTTCATCTAAACCAACATCCTTAATTTTCTGACAATAACCCCAAGTATCCTCTTTGAGAACATCAACACGACGTTCTTGAATAAACCGACGAGAGATGAAGCTATTATATCGTAACTGAGCAGCACGAGACACAAACCGTGATGAATCAAACCCTGGAGATTTAGAAATACCTTTCTTAATTCGACGCTTTTTGGAAGACTCAGGCGCGTTTGATTCTGGATGCTGTCTCTTCTTCATCTCTTGCTGTTGAAACTGATCTTGAACAGAAACAGTTGGATCAACTTCTGGAATTTCGACTGAAATTGGAACTGGTTCAGGTCGAGACACCGGCGTTGATTCCTCGTCCGTCGGATGATCCTGAGCTGACGCATACGCAGATGCAGATGCTTCACCGATGTCAGCTTGTGGAGTAGCAACCGGATCCGAAACAGGAGAAGCACTTGAGTCCAACTCGTAAGGTACAAGAGCCTGAACAGGAGAAGGAGTAGTTTCTGAATCACTCGATCCATCAATCAGCTGAGGATGATTGAGAGCACCATCGTCTCGAGCAGTAGAAGCACCACGATTTTGGCCGATCAACCCGCGTCGAGTAGCTTTCACCATTTTCGTGCAAAAAAGAAAAACCTAGACCCCTCGACTTCTTCGTCCTTTTTTTTTTTGTTTTTTTTTTCACTATGAGGTCACATCCTTCACTCTCTCCTTCTAAAAGATCGTCTTTTCTTTGGATGCCCGAATCTCGAGGAAACAACGATTTTTCTTTCCTTTTCTCTTTTAAATTTAAACTTTTGAAATCACAGAAAATACGGAACTGATTATTATTTCGGTAAAATAACTTGAACTGCATCATCCTGAATCAGTACCTTGAATCAGACAGAATCCGATTCACATAGCACAAACTCCAATCGAATTTCTTAAAAAAGAAAACTGACTGAAATCCAATGCCTTTGTGAACATATCAGCTAGCTGCACCTCTGTTTCCACATGCTCAATAAGAACCTGTTTCTTCTCAACAAGCTCTCGTATAAAATGATGTCTGACATCAATGTGCTTAGTTCTTGAATGCTGAACTGGATTTTTGGATATGTCAATAGCACTTTTGCTGTCACAATAGACCTGAATTACACCAGAATCCATGCCATAATCAGCTGACATTTGTTTCATCCAAAGCAATTGAGTACAACAACTTCCCATAGCAATATATTCAGATTCTGCAGTTGATAGAGACACAGAATTTTGCTTCTTGCTTAGCCAAGCAATCAGATTGTTCCCTAAGAAAAAACATCCTCCAGTTGTGCTTTTTCGATCAACAACACTTCCTGCATAGTCTGCATCGCAATATCCAACTAGATTCTTATTAGATCCTTTAGAGTACCAGATACCGAGATCAACTGTCCCTTTCACATATTTGATGATTCTTTTTACAGCCTCCAGATGTGACTGTTTGGGATTTGCTTGATATCTTCCACAAATGCCTACACTCAGACATAGATCCGGCCGGCTTGCTGTAAGATACAGTAGACTGCCTATCATGCCTCTGTATTGCTTCATACTGACATCAATACCACTCTCATCTTTAGACAACTTGATAGATGTACTCATGGGTGTCTTTGCTTCTTTGCATTTTTCCATCTGAAATTTCTTTAAAAGTTGCTTTGCATAAGTACTTTGAGAAATAAATATGCCCTCATCAGATTGTGTGATTTGCAATCCCAGAAAATACTTTAGCTCTCCTACTAAGCTCATCTCGAATTCTTGGGTCATTATCTTCACAAATCCATTGACGAGTATTTCTGATGTACTTCCAAAAATGATATCATCAACATAAATCTGAACTACCAGAATGTCAGAAGCTTGTTCAAGTGTAAACAAGGTTTTATCGACACTTCCACGAATATATCCATTCTCAGTCAGATAACTTGTCAATCTATCATACCATGCTCTGGGTGCTTGCTTTAATCCATAAAGGGCTTTCTTCAGTTTATACACATACTCGGGATGAGTCACATCTTCAAACCCCTTAGGTTGTTCTACATAGACTTCTTCTTGTAGATAACCATTAAGAAAGGCACTTTTTACATCCATTTGATACACTTTGAAATTCAATATGCAAGCCATTCCCAGAAATAATCTGATGGATTCCAACCGTGCAACAGGAGCAAAGGTTTCTTCAAAATCAACTCCTTCGATTTGAGTATATCCTTGTGCGACCAACCTTACTTTATTCCGAACTACAACACCACTTTCATCGATTTTGTTTTTGAAGATCCATTTAGTTCCTATGATGTTGATCTCTTCTGGTCTTTGAATCAACTCCCATACTTGATTTCGTTCAAACTGTTCAAGTTCTTCTTCCATTGCTATGATCCAGAAATCATCTTTAAGAGCTTCAACATGATTCTTTGGTTCAATGAATGACACAAAGCACTCAAATTGTACTGTTTCCCATATTGCAAAGTTACTATGTAGCTTTTTGAAATCGATTTGCACTCCTCTGGTCTTTCTTTCAGTGAGTTTTCCAATGATATATGAGGCTGAATGATTCTTATGAACTGTCGGAGTACCAGGTAAGTCCGAATGAGAGTTTTCTGGTTCCGACTCATTGTCCTTTGTTTCCTCTGTTTCTGACTCAGCCTTCTCTGCCTCTGAACCAGGTGCCTCTGTTTCTGAATCACTGTCTGAATTACGATTTCCTTTGTTTGAACCTGCTAAATCATCAAACACCACGTTGACTGATTCAACTACAGCACATGATCTTTTGTTGAATATTCTATATGCCATACTACTTTTAGAATATCCAAGAAACATGCCTTCATCACTCTTGGAGTCAAATTTTCCTAGATTTCCATGTATCATAGCTCGTGCCATCTCTTGCAATGTTCGATTCTTCCTTTCCACTACACCGTTTTGTTGTGGAGTTCTAGGAGCTGAAAATTGATGCACTATACCATGACTTTCACAAAATTCCTTCATTGACTCATTCTGAAATTCTCCTCCATGATCACTTCTTATCTTCTTAATAGATCCTTTTTCATTAATGAGTTGAAGTGCTAGAATCCTGAAACTGTTCACAGTCTCTGACTTTTCTTGAATGAACCGAACCCAAGTGTATCGTGAGTAGTCATCAACTAACACAAATACGTACTTCTTTCCTGACAGACTTTCTACTTGCATCGGCCCCATTAAATCCATATGAATCAGATCTAGAACAACTTTTGACTGCACATCTGGAACCCTTTTGTGCTGAATTTTAACTTGCTTTCCTTGATTGCATGGTCCACATATTATCTTATCTTCACCTTTGAGTTGAGGTACTCCTCGGATGATTTCCTTGTTTACAAGAGTAGTTAAATTTCTGACATTGATGTGCCCTATCCTTTGATGCCATAAATTCAGGTTGTCTCTTGCACTGAAGCACTTCTCAGCATTTTTCTCCCACATGTAACAGTTGCTTCCTGACCTTATCCCATGCAGTTTAGTCTTTCCATCTTCATCCATGGCTTTACAGTCAATTTTTGTGAACAGAACTGACATTCCTTCATCACACAGTTGACTTATACTGATTAAGTTTGCCTTCAGCCCTTGTACAAGATACACATTATCAAGTTTTGGCAGTTGATCACTACATGTTTTACCTCTGCCTTGTATGATTCCTTTCCTTCCATCACCAAAGGTAACATTTCCGCCTCTCAGTTTTTTGATTTCTTCCAGATTCTCCTGTGATCCTGTCATATGTCGAGAACAGCCACTATCAAAATACCAAGGTAAACTTTCTTCTTCTTCCTCTGTAAGCATGGCCATGTTGCATCGAAAACCTAGGTCTGAGGTAGGCACACGTTTAGGCTGATATAGATCAGATTTTTTAATCCATATTTGACGTTTGAACCCATTCCAAAAATACTTTCCAAGGTTCTTTAGTCTTCGAATCTTTTCCCAGTACTTGTAGCAGTATGCCTTATAATGTCCTAACCTTCCACAAAAGAAGCATCCTGCATATTTGGTATTATTGGTGTTCATTACTTCAGGTTTCACCTGATCTACTCCAGCAGATACAAACTTAGTTGTAGATGTGCTCCAGCTATTTGCTCCAGTAAAGCCAAGTCCTTGATGTGTCTTCTCAGTTCTTCCGTAGCTCAGAATTTTATCAAGCTGCTTAGTTCCTGCAAACATGTGTATCTTTCTGTACTGTTGGTCTAGTTCAGCCTGTAATTCAGATTTTGCCTTCTTTTCTGCAGTTAATTGAGTTTCTAGATCATCAGCTTTAGCAGATAGTACTAACTTTTCTTTTGTCATTAGTACACAATCTTTGGCAATCTTCTTTTCATCTTCCAACTCATTCTGCAGTTTTAACACTAGGGCCTCTAGGCGCATTTTCTCTTTTAGCAAATTCTGATTTTCTTTTCCCATATGGACAAGAGTATCACGCACTTCTTTGTAGTTCTGAACTATATCAACTTCTTCTTCATTTTCTGAGTCAGTCACTTCTTCTCCATCTTCAAATTCTGTGATTCCAATCATAGCAACCAGATTTAGAATTTCTTCTTCCTCACTATCTGATTCGTCTTCCATGCTTATCATTGATTTCTCTTTGCGGTTCACACAATTGTCTTGAGTATGACCGACTCCTTTGCAAAGAACACACTTTGCTTCCCGAAGCTTGATGGTTGGACATTCTCGAGCAAAATGTCCCATTCCCTTACACTCATGACACTGCATCTCAGATTTCTTAGGTCCTTTGGTTTCTTCAGAATATCTTCTGAAATTTGTTCGTTTCTGTCCTGATCCTTGACCTTGTTCATACTTCTTTAGAGCACGATCAAACCTTCTAACAAGCAGTCCAACTGGATCGTCATCCTCTGTCTGAGTCAGGTCTTCTTTAGCAGCTAGAGCAATTCCTTTTGTTTTCTTTACCCCTCCTAGTTCCAATTCATGTGCTTGCAGCATCCCAACAACTTCTGCAAAACTAAGATCCTCTGTTTTATGTGAAACTGTTAGAGCAGTTTTGTATGCCATGAATCTAGCAGGTAGACATCTTAGGAATTTCTTCACCAGTTTCTGATCCTTGTATTTCTTTCCAAGTGTTACTGCTTCTTGTGCTAGAGTGCTCAATTTAGAAGTAAAATCTTAGATCGATTCATGTTCTTCCATCTTGAGATTTTCAAAACGTGAAGCCAACATGTCTTTTCTTGAGTTCTGAACTTTAGAAGTTCCCTCATAGTGTGCTTGTAAGAGATCCCAAGCTTCCTTCGCTGTTTCACATCCTTGTATCAATTCAAACTGCTTTCTTCCAACACTACAATGTATTGCTGTGAGAGCTCTTGAATTATACTTGGATTTTTTCTGTTCTTCTTCAGTCCAATCACTTTCTGGTTTTGGTATCTTTTCTCCTTCGCTATTGGTGATAGTTGGCTCGACCCACTTTTCCAGAACAGCCTTCCATGCCAAACGGTCGATACCTCCAATGATCGATTTGATTCTAGATTTCCAAAAACCATAGTTGCCATCATCCAAGATAACCTTGTTACTATTGACTAGATCTCCGTAACTCTCCATTGTGTCCTCAAGATCTCACCTGTAGTATATCGAACAGGTGTTGCTCTGATACC